CCCCGAATGAATATTTACGAACGTCATACCGTAGTTTGTCCAGTGCTGTAGATTTTAACCAATGACGATAGATGGCGCTTTTAGACACGTCTTATTTATTTATTGAAAATTTGCCACATATCGTCATAATGTTAATCTGGGTTATAAACAATAATACTGTAAAGTTTCAACAAAATCCGTTCAGTAGTTTTTGCGTGAAAGAGTAACAAACATCCAGACATCATGACATCCAGACATCCAAACTTTCGCCTTTATAATATTAGTAGGATATTTCACAATCCAAACTAATATTTACTATTAAGCATTTACTTACAGTAAATATTAGTTTGGATCGTGAAATATTTAAAATAAAAAAAAGAATAAAACAATATAGGGTTTCAAATTACCTATCTATAATCTATATTATAAAGAGGTAAAGTTTGTGTGTTTGTATATTTGTTAAATTGTAAGGGGTAATCTCGGGATCTACTGAACTGATTTTAAAAAATCTTTCACCAATAGAAAGCCACATTATATCTGAGTGTAATAGGTTATACAGGGTGGAAACGTTAACTGATCTCACTCGATTATTTCTAAACTATACAAGATATCGAAAAACTGATTACTGATTCTTAAAGTGCTTTACGAGCTCTTTCAAACGATATCAGTAATAGGTTGCAGAATTAAGTGGATCTATCCGAAAATTCAATGTTTTCAGCCTCCATACTAAATGTATGCCACTATGCCAGTTACATAATATTAGAAGTGTTAATTTTTTTATTTCAAATAATAAACACTTAAAATTAATTCGTGAATTGCATTCTTATTTAAAATTATTCACGGAAAACATTGGTTTTAGGCTTTACTTGCTATAAAATTATCAAGACATGAGTGCTATGATTGTGGCAGTATTAAATGTATGGAAGCTGAAAACATTGAATTTTCGAATAGATCCAGTTTATTTTATAACTTATTATTGGTACCATTAGATAGAGCTCGTGAAGCACTTTCAGGATCAGTTACCAGTTTTTGGATATCTTGTATAGTTTTTAATATTATGAGGTTTTACTAAATGTATGGAGGCTGGAAACATTGAATTTTCAGATAGATCCATTTTATAATGTAACCTATTATTGGTACCGTTGGATAGAGCTCATGAAGCACTTTTAGGATCAGTAAGCAGTTTTTGGATATCTTGTATAGTTTAGAAATAATCGAGTGAGATCACTTATCGTTTCCACCCTGTATAAAAACCAAAAAATTCCACGAAGGCGAAGCGGCGGGCGGAAAGCTAGTTTATTTATAATTATGTAAGAGCATAATTATTAAAGTCGAAGTCAAACATTCTTTGTTTGTGTGGACCTATATTAAAGAGAGATTACAAGAGATTACAAGGNAAAAAAAACTAGATGATATTTGCCAGTACATTTAGATTTGATGCAACCCTACATCAATGCACGTCAAAACAAAATATTTACTTTGAGGCTACGCTTAGTAGTTTTTTTTTAAATCGAAATTAAATGATGCGATTTGGGTATTTTGGTGAAATTACTAAAAAACTTAATATGAAAGTAGCCGCCTGACATGGAACGTGTTATGGGGGGTGAAAATATAGGAAATGACCCATTCTATCCGCCAAATAATTTTGGCACACGATGCGCCAAACACCCTGTATATTGGTTATGGCTATTGGAGCGGGTACCACTTTCCATACATTTGTGCCCATCATCCTTTAAATCGTTGGCATCCTTTTAAGCAAAATCAAAATCAAAATTATCTTTATTTGTTTAGACTAATTAAATTAGTTCTTGCAAATCGTCAAATGCTCTTAAGGAGCCTATACATGTCTCATTCTTTTTTTGCCCTACCAGCGCTTCGAGACAAACATTTGGCAAGTGCTGAGAAGAAGCGCCGTAACAAACTCAGTCACCACTGTCTGCCGGCTTAAAAATATAAAAAAATATAATAAAGTAGGAAGTTACATACATTCAGAAGCAAGTTACTTACCACGCGCTCCCGTTGATAGAAGGTGGCCTTTAAGACGCCCATCTAGCACGAGACCGCGTGGCAGTTTTGAATATATTTCTTTAGTGCCGTGCTAATTTCTAGGTTAATTGTTGCGTTTTGATACATATATTTTATGTCAGGTATATCTTTCCTTGACCAGTCTCCGAAGGCAGCGCCTGTGCAATCTAAGACTCTACTCATGATACATTCCTCAAATATGAGACAAAACCAATGAGTTAAAATTACATTTTAATAGTACCTACATACAATCGTCTTCACTCTTTAGAAGAGCACACTGACACAAATAAATAATAAAAAATTAGGTCAGTGGGTCAAATATAGGGGCAGCTGCACGTCACTGAAAGACGATTCTGTTTACTCGGCATCTGGGCTGGAGAACATGAATCCTTGCTTACAGATGCAGATGTAAATAGAGTTATAATTGGACAAATTTTACATGAAATGTTTAACAGAACTCAGTTAAAAGACACATACATGGAATACCAATAAGGTTGCGGAGGGAAAGCTACCTATTATAAACTAGCGGCCGCCCGCGACTTCGTTCGCGTGGACCTCGTTTTACCCCCGTTAGATATGATGTTTTACCTCATTTTACCCATGTTGATAGATGGCGTTTCACGGTTTCCCCCGAATGAATATTTACGAACGTCATACCGTAGTTTGTCCAGTGCTGTAGATTTTAACCAATGACGATAGATGGCGCTTTTAGACACGTCTTATTTATTTATTGAAATTTATTTGCCACATATCGTCATAATGTTAATCTGGGTTATAAACAATAATACTGTAAAGTTTCAACAAAATCCGTTCAGTAGTTTTTGCGTGAAAGAGTAACAAACATCCAGACATCATGACATCCAGACATCCAAACTTTCGCCTTTATAATATTAGTAGGATATTTCACAATCCAAACTAATATTTACTATTTAGCATTTACTTACAGTAAATATTAGTTTGGATCGTGAAATATTTAAAATAAAAAAAAGAATAAAACAAAATAGGGTTTCAAATTACCTATCTATAATCTAATATTATAAAGAGGTAAAGTTTGTGTGTTTGTATATTTGTTAAATTGTAAGGGGTAATCTCGGGATCTACTGAACTGATTTTAAAAAATCTTTCACCAATAGAAAGCCACATTATATCTGAGTGTAATAAGTTATATAAAAACCAAAAAATTCCACGCGGGCGAAGCGGCGGGCGGAAAGCTAGTTTATTTATAATTATGTAAGAGCATAATTATTAAAGTCGAAGTCAAACATTCTTTATTTGTGTGGACCTATATTAACGAGAGATTACAAGAGATTACAAGGCGTCAAATATTTCAAGAAAAAAATTAAAAACTATTATAAAGCTAAATTTTGCTCTCATGGAGCCTTTACCTACTCTGACAAATTAAGACTTAGAGAAGAAACTAATAATAAAACTATTTAACTGTCCTGCAATGAAAAGCTTGATCGGGTACAACACCTCAAGTTATTTCAGAACTTGATTTCATTAAAAGACTCCGAATATCAAATCGCTTAGGTATCTAAAGTCAAACGATTCTGAAATGTCAAGTGGACTAATGAATAACCCATTAAGATAGTAGCGCCCTCCTGTCAATGACATACCTGGAACGATAGAGTTTTGAACAACTAATAAAAATGCTTTGTCCTAAATGACTGACGGATATCGTAGAGACCTGAAAGTTGGAAGGTGTGTTCTTTTTATGACGTAGGCATCTCATAAGAAAAGATTTTCCGAAATGGGGTCATGAAATGAAGGGGGTGAAAAAAGGGGGCAAAGTTTGTATGGGACAAAGTGATTCCTTGGTTCAATCTACTTGAAATTTAGTTTAACAATACCTTAATATAATTCATGAAAGACGTGTGGAACGGGTAGAAAGTAATTTTGGCAGTCATTTTCTTCGAAGTTGATATCAATACTACTTAGTGCCTTTGATTTAATTACTTTTTATTTTTACAAGTGTTTGAAAACTCCATTTCAGATTGTGTTCAATGTCAAGTGAAATCTCAAATTGAAATGTCTCAATCTCAATGAGGAGACTCTGTATTTATTCCTAGAATTCCCCAAACACCGTCAAATTACCCTTTCGAATTCAAGACAGTGCAGTTTCCCATCAGTCTGCTTCGTAATGACTATAAACAAAGCTCAAAGTCAAACTCTAGGGACCTCTGCTTAAACTCCCATGAGTGCACAGAGGTACGCAGGTAACCGCGTGTGATGCTTATAGCAATTTTCGATAGGTACAGAACCCCGTACATACGTCATACATATTATAGAAAGAAAACACCCAGACCAATACAAACAAATATGTTTCTGCAATTTTAGTATGATATTTTTATTTATTAATAAACAAAGAGACTGAACAAAATTGATGCGTACCTATACTGATTAATGTTATTAACCACATGCAAAGCTTCGTGAATTGCAACAACTATAATTAAATTTATTATCCAAGCTCTAAATAATCGCTACTAAGAGTAACTTATCATAAAAAAAAATTCCAATCGCTCAAGCTCCCAAGGGCCTACCGATAGGTCGGGTGACGTAATCTTGAAATTCTTTAAGCCGGCGCAGAACTTCCAGAAGGTCGGGCGACGCCACGGCCACTTTGAACAGTGTTTACTTCTGCAGTTATATTTTATATTTATTCGATTCTAGAATATATTCCCAAAAAGTCTGAAAGGTGTTTTAATTTGTATCACTTGGATATGATTTCTATTAGAAAGTGTTGTGAGTGTGACGCTTGAAGGGAAGGAAGTCAACCTAACCTAACCAACTGCGTATTTCTATACTGTGTAGCTGGAAATTGTGGCGGGAGCTCTTTGACGCGCTGTTTTCGGCGAAGAATTGCGCGCGCAGATTTTGACAGCGCGAAATACCTACTTTAGAAGAAATACCAAGCCTTAATGTTGGGTAGTACTACCCTTTAACATCCAACAGAAATATTGTCACAAATTATTTGACTGTCAGTTAAGATGAAACAGTACCTCATTCAATCGTTATTAAAATTTCTATCTCATTACCAACAGGCAACTACCCTCTCTGCCGAATCCTGACCAACCTGTACGAGGTGTGTCCCTCCCCGCTTGAGGGTCACGCCACGGCGCTGGTATCGCTGCTTCCTCACGCCGAGCAGGTGGAGAAGAACTCTCTGTTCGCGCTGTTCGAGCTTGTCGCTATGCGCCGGCCCGAGGCGCTTAGGACTTGTGTACCGCAGTTGCTGTCGTATCTGTGTCCGAATACTGCGGCCCAGGACGATCCGGGGTGCATGTGTGTTGATATTTTGCAAGTAAGATTCTTATTTTATTAGCAATCTGTTCAAATTATGCAAAATTATTGGAGCAAATATTGTTTAACTCTCCTTTCAAAGTCTATTTTCTGAAGTCTAATCAACCTTGAAATTAGAGGGGCTATTGATATGTTGATATCCGGCTCGAAGGACCATTATGATATACAGTGAGAGAAGTGCATCTAAAGTATATAAATGCGCTTCAAATTAAAGGCGCGAGGAAGCGCTGCAGTGACGTTACTATCATTTGAGTTTGTCACGGTAGTGGCGCTGCAACTGAACTTCTCGTAATGAGGGTTTTCGCGATTGAAAAATCCGCCAGATGGCAATACCTAGACGCGAGGTCCAAATGCTGCATGATTGGTGGATTTTGACATATCTGTCAATATCATGTCAAAAATAACCACAGGCATTTTTTAAACGCGAAAACCCTCATTGTATGAAAACTAGTAGTGGTGCGGCGCGGGCCGCGGTATGAGCTACCTTGCCTCCCACCGTCATACGTTAGTAAGGCGTGCGAGGGGGCACCGCGCCGAGACGTGGGGCTCGTGAGACTGGTCAGGCGGGAACAAAACGTGATGATGCGGCAAACGGGTCACAGTGGCGCCACTGCAGCGCTTCCTCATGACTCTAATTTGAAGACGCCCTAAATGAAAAATTCCCTTTTTTTTGTAGGTGATAGTGTGCGTCAGTCGTCGGCGGCCATCGCTCGTGGCCGAGCATACGGCGTGCATCCAGCGCGCCGCGCGGCCGCCGCACGCGACGCCGCGCGCGCTCGCGCTCGTGGCCGCCGCGCTCGCGCACCCCGGGTACACCGACAGGGTGCGCACACGCCCCGTGACCCCCACCCAGCACACTGTGACCCCCGCCCCGACCCTCCAGCACACTGTGACCCCCGCCCCGACCCTCCAGCACACTGTGACCCCCGCCCCGACCCTCCAGCACACTGTGACCCCCGCCCCGACCCTCCAGCACACTGTGACCCCCGCCCCGACCCTCCAGCACACTGTGACCCCCGCCCCGACCCTCCAGCACACTGTGACCCCCGCCCCGACCCTCCAGCACACTGTGACCCCCGCCCCGACCCTCCAGCACACTGTGACCCCCGCCCCGACCCTCCAGCACACTGTGACCCCCGCCCCGACCCTCCAGCACACTGTGACCCCCGCCCCGACCCTCCAGCACACTGTGACCCCCGCCCCGACCCTCCAGCACACTGTGACCCCCGCCCCGACCCTCCAGCACACTGTGACCCCCGCCCCGACCCTCCAGCACACTGTGACCCCCGCCCCGACCCTCCAGCACACTGTGACCCCCGCCCCGACCCTCCAGCACACTGTGACCCCCGCCCCGACCCTCCAGCACACTGTGACCCCCGCCCCGACCCTCCAGCACACTGTGACCCCCGCCCCGACCCTCCAGCACACTGTGACCCCCGCCCCGACCCTCCAGCACACTGTGACCCCCGCCCCGACCCTCCAGCACACTGTGACCCCCGCCCCGACCCTCCAGCACACTGTGACCCCCGCCCTCCCCTCTACAGGGTGGAAACGATAAGTGATCTCACTCGATTATTTCTAAACTGTACCAGATATCGAAAAACTGGTTATTGATCCTGAAAGTGCTTCGCGAGCTCTTTCAAATGTTACCAATAACAGGTTACAGAATAAACGTGATCTATCCGAAAATTCAATGTTTCCAGCTTCCATACTAAATGTATGCCAACCACTCAATTTATTAGAAGTGTAATTTTTTTTAAACTTAAAATAAACTCGTAAATTGCATTCTTATTTAAAATTATTTATGGAAAATATTAGTTTTAGGCTTTATTTGCTATAAAATTTGGTATAATATTATCAAGAGATGAGTGCCATATCTGTGACAGTACTAAATGTATGAAATGGAAACATTGATTTTTTAGATAGATCCAGTTTATTCTGGAACTTAATATTAATACTGTTGGATAGAGCTCGTGAAGCACTTTTAGAATCAGTAACCAGTTTTACGATATCTTTGGTTGTTTTTAATATTATGAGGCTGTAACAAATGTATGGAAGCCGGAAACATTGAATTTTCGGCTAGATCCAGTTTATTCTTTAACCTATTATTGGTACCGTTTGATAGAGCTCATGAAGTACTTTCAGGATCAGTAATAAGTTTTTTGATATCTTGTATAGTTTAGAAATAATCGAGTGAGATCACTTATCGTTTCCACCCTGTATAGTCTGGTCACCGAGCACGTAGAATTTTGTACAATGACCCTAACAATGTCACGCTTGCACACTCACTACTGCCGCCCTTTGCACAGTCGCGACAGCAATATAATTGCGTGCGAGCGATAAGGATAGGTAGCTGGGGGTCATTGGACAAAATTCTACGTGCTCGGCGACCAGACTTTAGCCCCCTCCAAACCTCCCCGTACAACCCCGCGATCACTGCGACTCCCGCCCTCTTCCCTTCAACACTAATGCCTCCTGTTATGTTACCATAGAGGTCACATAAAAATTAGGGATCGATAGTAAAAACGGGCATAAAACCACTACGATACCCGCTCCCTTTTCTCTAGCCCCCGCGGCTACTGGACCCCTGCCCCTCTTCCCCCCTCTAGCCCCCCACAAATTGAAACTTGATCACTGCGACTCCCGCCTCTCTCCCTTCCAGCCCCCCGCAATCACTGGACCCTCGCCTTTTCCTCTCCAGTCCTCCATAAATGCTGAAGGGCGATCATTGCGATTCTCGCCCTTCAGCACTCTACGACCACTGTGACCCCCGCCCTCGCCCCTCTAGCGCCCCGCAATCACTGGACCCTCGCCTCTTCCCATCTAGGCCCCCGCGACCACTGGACCCTTGCCTTCTACCCTCCAGCCCCCCGTGGACCACTGAACCCCTCGCCCCTCTCCCCTCTGGCCCTCCGCACACCTCCCGTGATCAATGAGACTCCAGCCCCCCGTACACCCTTCGTGATCACTGCGACTCCCGCTCTATTCCTTTCAGCATTCTATGATCACTGCGACTAAAGCCCTCTTCCCTTCAGCATTCTACGACCACTGTGATTCCAGCCCCCTTCCCCTCCAGCACTCTATCATATGACCACTGTGACCCACGCCCTCTTCCCTTTGGACTCCCCACATACCTCCTGCGATCACTGCGACTCCCGCTCTCTTCTCTTCAGCACTCTACGACCACTGGGACCCCCGCCTCCTCCCCTCTAGCCCTCCGAGACCACTAGACCCCTGCCCCTCTCCCCTCTGGCCCTCCGCACACCTCCCGTGATCAATGGGATTCCCGCCCCTCTCCCTTCCAGCCCCCCGTACACCCTTCGCGATCACGGCGACTCCCGCTCTATTCCTTTCAGCATTCTATGATCACTGCGACTAAAACCCTCTTCCCTTCAGCATTCTACGACCACTGCGACTCCAGTCCTCTTTTCTTCAGCACTTTACGACAGTGGGACCCCCGCTCCCGCCCCTCTAACCCCCCGCGACTGGAGCCCCGCCTCCTACCCTTTAGCGCCCCGAGACCACTGGACCCCTACCCCTCTCCCTTCTAGCCCACCACAAATGTTCCGAGATCACTGCGACTCCCGCCTCTCTCCCTTCCAGCCCCCCGCAATCACTTGACCCTCGCTTCTTCCCCTCCAGCCCCCCGCACACCACTCAAGACCATTGCGATTTCAGCCTTCTTCCCTTCAGCACTCTACGACCACTGCGACCACCGCCTCCTCCCCTCTAGCCCTCCGCGGGCCACTGGACCCCTGCCCCTCTCCCCTCTAGTCCCCCACAAATCTTCCGGGATCACTGCGACTCCCGCTCCTCCCTTCCAGCCCCCAGCAATCACTGGACCCTCGCTTCTTCCCCTCCAAGCCCCCGTAAACCTCTTGCGATCATTGCGATTCTCGCCCTTCAGCACTCTACGACCACTGTGACCCCCGTCTCCTCCCCTTTAGCGCCCCTAGACTACTCAAAGTCAAAGTCAAAATTTCTTTATTTGTTTGGACTAATAAATAGTTCTTACAAATCGTCATTTTGCTCTTAAGGAGCCTCTACATGTCTCATAATCTTTTTACCCTACCAGTACTGGACCCCTGCTTCCTCCCCTCCAGCCAATGTACATCCCCTCGCAATCACTGCGGCTCCAGCCTTCTTCTCTTCTGCACTCTACGACCACTGCGACCTCCGCTTATTCCCCTCTAGCCCCCTGAAACCACTGGACCCCTGCCTCCCTCCCTTCAGCCTCCCGCGATCATTGCGACCCCCGCCGCCTCCTCTCTTCATTTACAAATAAGTGTGATGAGCTATTACGGAGACGTCATTATAATTTCTACGCGAAAAACATTAAAAAATAAAAAAATAAAAAAAAAATAAAAATTGTTTATTTCTGTAAATCATTTACAATAAAGTTACCGGGGTCTCCCAGAAAGTAATCGTAAGATACTTGTGTTGGGAGTACCTCGCTCTTCCACCTTAGTTACAAATTAGTTTAGATTTACATTTGTACATTTGTATTGAAAAGCTTTTAAAATTTTAACAGAATATCTTTCTTGACTTAGCTAGCTAGTTTAACCAGCCCACCATCTTATAACTTACCATCTAAAATTTTTCACCTGATTTATAACCTTAAAATTCGCATAATCCTTAGATCCTAACATCAGATTCCCTTGTCAATCACAGGAACGAGCTCAGGAAGCGTTGAACTTCGTGCTAGAACACTTGCCAGCCGCAGAAGGCGCGCAGGCGGCGCTGCTGCGGGAAGCGACAGCTCTGTGCAGCGCTTTCCCTGCGCTTTTCACAGAGCGCGTGCTAACCGCCGTGCGACACCACAGCAGGTCAGTACACATAGAGAAAAAAGAGAAGAAGTATGCTAATCTATCCATGCGGGCGGGGCACATAGCTTGTAGAGACGATGGCCGTTGGGGCAGAAAAGTTCTCGAGTGGCGACCACGGGCTGGAAGACGTAGCGTGGGCAGGCCTCCTACTAGGTGGACCGACGATCTGGTAAAGGTCGCGGGAAGAGCCTGGATGCGGGCAGCGTAGGACCGTGCATTGTGGAAAACCTTGGAGGAGGCCTTTGTCCAGAGGGGGATGTCATTTGGCTGAAACGAACGAACCAATCTATAGCAGCCTTTGGGGTTCGTCTTCGAATATAGGTCTCCTCTTCAACCTTCCACCGACTTCTGTACCTGGCCACTTGCATCCAGTTTATACCAGCTTGTTGCCGGATGTCATTTGTACATCTTTTAGGCGGTCTTCCTCTGCCGCTTATAGAATACCGAAAAAACAAAAATGAAAGGGCTGACATGGACTACATATAAGCAGGCAAAGAATTAACGCTTTCGTTCCGCCTTTAGGCTGGTTTTACAGCCACTGATAGGCAACGCTGCTTAACTTAGCTGATAAAACTGTTCCTGATTAAAAATATTTTAAATAACGGTCCGGTTGTCTTCGGGCTATTGATAAGTCAGTATTTGGCTCGTTAGGCCCGTTTAAGTCTCGAGGTAGTATATCAATTTACTTCTAGGCTCAACACTCATTTACCATGCATTAATAAGTGTAGTTTTCAATTTGTGCTTCATTCCAGCAATCGACCGAAAACCGAACCGTCACACGGCGAGATCAATAGAACATCTGGGGGCGTCACCATCGTTAAACTAGGAGGGCCCACGCCCACACCTGCACCGACTACATCGGTCGCTACGTCATCGTCGGTCGCGTCGACCGCGTCGGTCCCGGCCGCGTCGGTCCCGGCGGCCGGCTACACGCGGCGGGCCAAGTTAGGCGACTCGCGGAGTACGGGCCGCCTGCACCCCGGGCCTAACTCGCATCGCAGCATGACACGACTCAACGTGGCTGGTACGTGTTCATTCAGCACTTTAGATGTTTGGTCCCGGCCGCGTCGGTCAAAGTCAAAGTCAAAATTTCTTTATTTGTTTAGACTAATAAATAGTTCTTACAAATCGTCACCCCGGGCCTAACTCGCATCGCAGCATGACACGACTCAACGTGGCTGGTACGTACAATATTCAGCATATTTGATATTTGGTCCCGGCCGTGTCGGTCCCGGCGGCCGGGTACACGTGGCGCGCTAAGCTAGGCGACTCGCGGAGTACGGGCCGCCTGCACCCCGGGCCTAACTCGCATCGCAGCATGACAAGACTCAACGTGGCTGGTATGTGTATTGTTGTTACATCAATCTGACTGTAATTTTAGTTGCTAAATTGCAACTATTTAGGATGTCACAGTCATTAGCTAAATGTGACGTTATCTGTGTGTCATAGCTTTTGTAATATAAACGTGTCTGCGACTTTTTGGCGGGTTTTAGAATCGCGCTGACCGCTCGCTGATCGTCGGCGCTGACAGATCAATATGTATGTAATTGCCGACGATTCATACATTTCGGCTGTCAGCGCTGACGGTCAGCGTGCGTCAGCTTGACTCTAAAACCAATCTTTTGCCGTGTAAAGTAACCTATTTGACAACCTAGGTGCTATTGTGATGTTTGCTATAAAATTGGAAAGTTTCACAAAACAGTCATCCATCTATACAAACTTTGCGTTTACAATACGTCATTTATTGTCTTCAGGTGGATCAGTGGGCGGCCTTCACAAGAGCATGACAAGACTATCTTCATCACAGCAAATCAACTCTCAGCAAAACGTCAACGGTCCACCTACCACAGGTAATTTTCTCTCAAAATTTATTATTTCACTAGAAACTTCAATGAACTGTTAAGATTATTTTTAGTGTCTATGAAAACAATAATATGGCGAGTCAATTAATATGGCGAAAATTTTGCGATACTAAACTGTGGAAGAATCGTATTCGGCGTTTGACAGCTCATAAAGGAGTTGGGAGGGTAGTTTACATAGTATATCTATTGACTTGTGTCAAATGCCCTCTGAATCTGACGTCATTGTTTCTATTATTGTTTACTGTGGCGTCTGTGGCACTTAGGCTAAGAACTCATGGCGCGATTTTCACCCGCACCCGCGGCGGTTGTGGAATTGCGGTTTTATTTCAAAACTCATGGGAGCGGTCCTTCGCGCGGTTATTGTAAGAACTCACGGCGCGATTTTAAACCGCGTCGTGAGTTGTGCATTAGTTTTTACATAAGTATCTGCATTCTACAGAAGCTGCGGGCCCGCAAACGCCGCGGGCGCGGGTGAAAATCGCGCCATGAGTTCTTAGCCTTAAAGTTCTGATGATTTTTGAAATGCGCAGGCAGCAAGCCGGCCAACGCATCGCCGCCGCGCGCGCCGCGTCCCGCCGCCCGCAGTCATCACCACAACATCCTCATCGGCTCCGCCGGCTCCACGCACATTGTAAGACTCGTTATATCGTCGATATCTGATAATGAACATGCACATTTGAGACATCTTATAGGTGGCGGATCGCACCGCGACTGAGACAGGAAACCGAGACACGAGACCGCGACCGTTACTTAACGTTAAGATGGCGGTTCGCACCGCGACAGAGACAGGAGACCGAAACACGAGACCGAGACGGGAGATCGCGACCGTTATTTGACTAAAAGCGACAGTTCGCAAGCGAGACAGAGACAGACAGGTCTCTGCCTAGTCAAATAACGTTCGCGGTCTTTCGTCTCGGTCTCCTGTCTATGTCGCGATGCGAACCGCCACCTTTAGGCAAGCGACAGTACGCGAGCGAGACAGAGACAGGGGACCGACACCTAAAGGCAGCGGTTCGCGCTGCGACAGAGACAAGCGACCGAGACGAGAGACCGCTTCCGCTACTTGACTTTAGACAATGTCAGTCAATTCGCGAGTTTACTGTATTATAATTTTAACTCTGATATTTTAGAAATAAATATATTGTACTTTCGAATATCCATAGATATTAATGTCATAGACAAGTCTAACCTTTACATCGCCTCTTTACCATTCGCTAAATAGTTTGTTTAACATTATTAAAATGTTCTTGCAGAGTTCTGGAACCACGATAATATCGGGTCCGCCAGCGCTGCAACAGTCCATCGCAGTGAGCGCGCGCTCGTCGGACGCGCTCGCGCCGGCGCCCGCGCTGGGCCACGTGGCCGTCGTCTCCTCGCACGCCTGCGCCGCGCCCGCCATCATATCGCAAGGTCAGTCTGAGTGAGGACCCTTGCACAGTGTTTTATTTTGGCTTAGAAGCGGACATCCCTGTTTTATTAATTCAATCGTTAGATATTACTATTATGTATAAAATTGATGAAGGAACTATTAGTTGTATTTGTTTAGTTTCGAGGAAATATTCGATTTTGTGATTTTATAAAAAAACAGTTTTAGAAGCATATTTTCTAAAAAAATTACATTAAGTCAGAATTTTGTAAATAAATTTACCTATCACTATAACGTCTACCTTTATGCAAAAATAAATGGTTATTGCTGCAGTAATTTAGGAATTATTTAATAATTTATGATTTTCAGAAAACATTTTTTTCTCCGTTGTCCTAGACAATTGGCAGCTATATTTACTTTATATTGATGCATGATATAATTATCTATAATACCTGAAAATATTACTTGCCTATCCCGTGGGAGTTGAACGTGAACGGTATTATAGGTCTCGTCTCTGCCGGCTATGCTGTTCGTCTTCACACATATCGTCTCATCCGCTTTAGTAGAAAACCGCTGTTAAAATGATTTCTATGATTCAAGAGATATGTAGTTAGGTGTCAAGTTTTAAACTAAATTAAATTTTAATCACGTTTCCAATTAAGTTAAAATGTGTAACATAGTTAACATCGCAAAATATTCTCGCTCTGTTAATGATGCGTGAATAATTAAAAGGAAGAATGTCGTAACGGAGTAATCAGGCGGTGACTGTCAATGACTTTCTTTTAAATCTTATTGCATAGTTCACTCAAATTGTAGTTTATCTTCATAATCTGTAATAAAGAATTATGTTCTGGTAATGAGCTAATAAAATTTTTTGCGGTAGTTAGTGAGTATAATAAGAAGCGAAGTATCCGCTGTACATGTTGTGTTCTAATATTGCTTTGTATGAAAGTGGCGTAAGATTAGAGAAAAGAAGAAATATGCGAAGAACAGGCCTCCTCAACCCGTCTAGTCAGCGTGGGGGGTATAGGCCAAATCCTCCATTTGCCTCTGGTAAATAGAGGGTCATTCGTTCTCCTGCAGTGGAGATTAAATGACCTGGGCCCCGATTACGCTAATTTTTAACGTCTCCAATTCAGACGCGCTTTTTCGATTCTGCGATACGATTATATTATACGATACGAACAGCTGACGTCAGCTGTATTGACCAATCCGTATCGCAAAATCGAAGAAATCGAAGAAGCGCGTATACACACGCGCTTCTTCGATTTCTTCGATTTTGCGTATTGGAGACGTTATAAATTAGCGTAATCGGGGCACTGGGCCCCGATTGTGCTAAAGATTTTCAACTGCGACGCGACTGATCATATGAATCTGTATCGCGGTGTCGCTTTGACAGCTAGGTCAAATGATGCTGTAACGTTAACGGAACGCAACTGCGTCTTTGTGTAAAAGCTGACAGAGCGCTACTTTTTCTCAAACGCAAGTCAAACGCTTCACGAATATTTTCTGTGTTTTAGTGAAAAAATAAGGTGTTCGGACTTCTGATGATGGAAGTTGCAAATCTTAAGCCAAACGTCCACCGCCGGCTAAACTAAGTTAGTTTAGCTTAGCTCGCATAGTTGAGCCAGTTTTTCATACATGTGCGTCCACCGTTTTAGTCTTTATTAATCACACAATAAGTTTATTCGTAGGCTCCGGCGGGACAGCGGCGGCGGCGGCGGCGGGTCCGGCGGCGACGGCGGCGGGCAGCCCGGCGGCGGCGGCGCGGCGCGGCAACAACACCAGCGTCACCATGATCAACTCCAACCGCATCAGCGTGTTTGAGCCCTACCCCATGCGTGACACCGTCCAGGTACAATCAAACAAACATAGGCGGTTATCACACTGCGCCGCGCTCCGCCGCGGTACGCGGGACGACAGATTTAATCATTGTATGCAAGTACCTCAGTTTGTATAGAAAACACGCGCGGCACAACACACTGAAAACGCGTCGAGCGCGGCGCAGTGTGATAACCACCAGATGCCAGAGTTTCCCTTAATCCTGTCGTTTATACATCAGCTAGGTTTTTTCCCACGATGTTAAGTTGCCTGAACGTTATATGTTCACCATATTTACAGTCCTTAAAACTAGCAACATATTTTTTGTGTGTTTTGAATTTCAATATTTTTGCAGCACTTTTGCGAGAAGCACTTGGACAAGATCAAAGCTTACATGGACAACGTGTCGCTACGGCTCCCGCCGCCCGCCAAGTGCACCATCGAAGGTGAGTTCAAACTAATTGCACAGATCGTGATATTTGAACGATTCAGTATTTGATTTGATCAATTTGACTTTTAAAATCTTATGTGTATCTCAAAGACTGCCTTTTATGTGTTCGAAAAGGATTTTAAATTCGGTGTACGTACGTGGCATGAATTCACTGCGGTGCAAGCTGATTTGTATTTGTTTCCTCGCTTAGAGCGTCGTTCAAAGTAGTAGGCGCAGGCGCATTGCCTGTTCACGCGCGCGATATTACTATATTGACGTGACAAGTCGTGTATAATGCGCGATCCAGTTACTGCGACTACTCGGGAGGTCCTGGTGATAAACAGGTCCTTGCTCGGCTCTCCGTTGACGTTCTCTATGTTGACGTGACAAGTCGTGTATAATCCGTGTGTTTCCTTACCCAGAGCGTCGCTCGAAGAAACAAGCGCGTTTACAATTCGCATGCGGTCGCCGCGGGCCGCACTGCCTATTCACGCGTGCGATGACGTGACAAGTCGTGTTTAATTCGTGTGTGTTTCCTTACCCAGAGCGTCGCTCGAAGAAACAAGCGCGTTTACAATTCGCATGCGGTCGCCGCGGGCCGCACTGCCTATTCACGCGCGCGATGACGTGACAAGTCGTGTTTAATTCGTGTGTGTTTCCTTACCCAGAGCGTCGCTCGAAGAAACAAGCGCGTTTACAATTCGCATGCGGTCGCCGCGGGCCGCACTGCCTATTCACGCGCGCGATGACGTGACAAGTCGTGTTTAATTCGTGTGTGTTTCCTTACCCAGAGCGTCGCTCGAAGAAACAAGCGCGTTTACAATTCGCATGCGGTCGCCGCGGGCCGCACTGCCTATTCACGCGCGCGATGACGTGACAAGTCGTGTTTAATTCGTGTGTGTTTCCTTACCCAGAGCGTCGCTCGAAGAAACAAGCGCGTTTACAATTCGCATGCGGTCGCCGCGGGCCGCACTGCCTATTCACGCGCGCGATGACGTGACAAGTCGTGTTTAATTCGTGTGTGTTTCCTTACCCAGAGCGTCGCTCGAAGAAACAAGCGCGTTTACAATTCGCATGCGGTCGCCGCGGGCCGCACTGCCTATTCACGCGCGCGATGACGTGACAAGTCGTGTTTAATTCGTGTGTGTTTCCTTACCCAGAGCGTCGCTCGAAGAAACAAGCGCGTTTACAATTCGCATGCGGTCGCCGCGGGCCGCACTGCCTGTTCGCACGAGCGCTGTTCTGCGTGCGAACGCGCGCGCCTCGCGTGTGGATCCACCTGATGTTCCTGGCGCTACAGGCGCGTCACGCGTCGGCGCTGTCGTCGCGCGACCCCACCGTGGCGTCACTCAAGCACTGCTGGGACATCCTCAAGTGCGAGAACAAGACCTTCCTTACTGTCGTCACCAGCGCCTTTCCCGGCCTCAAGGTAAGCGCGCTAGTTCAATTTACAAGCCTATGTGTAGTACTCCTTGTTTTAGCCAGATGACGTCCACTGCTGGACGAAGGCCTCCCATAACGTCCGGTCCTGGGCTGCCCGCATCCAATTACTTCCTGCGACCTTCATCAGATTGTCGGTCCAGCTCACTAGCTCCCCACTGGGAACAAGCCTAATATACTCCTCGTTTCAGCCAGATGATGTCCACTGCTGGACAAAGACCTCTCAAAAGGAGTTCCACAACGACCGGTCTTGCGCTATCCGCATTCAGGTACTTGCCGCGACCTTCACCAGATCATCGGTCCACCTAGTGAGGGACCCACACTACACTACGTCTTCCGCCCCGTGGTCGCCACTCGAGAACATTTCTACCCCAGCAACCATCAGTTCGGCGCCTATGTGCTAGCTATATGCCCCGTCCATTGCCAGCAGTTCCTTGAAAGTTTACTAAGTCACATACCCATGTAACTTAGCAAACTTTCAAGGAACTTACTAATCTGCTTTACGTAGAAAATTCAACCGAACTTTAAACATCACAATCAAAATGACCCTGTTTATTCGTTGATTAAGACCGCTGACAAATCAAGAGATAGTGGCTCTACCTACACATCACTGACCGAAACCAGAGTAAATACAAATGAGTAGGTCATCTTTATAGAAACGCACCGAGCGCGGTTTGTATGTGAGCGCGCCAATATACGTATGCGGCGCGCACGCACACACTGACAAAATTCGCCCGTGCGTTTTTATGAAGATGACCTACTCATTTGTATTTACTCTGCCGAAACCCTGTGTACTTCCAGGAGCAGGAGATGGCGGCCGTTTCGATAACTTTAGCCTGTCCAGGAGGGCGAAAGCTACTCGCTGCCGAGATACTAGAGGCCAATACATAGCGTCCACAAGACGACGAATCTCGTTATACAATACGCTCGTGTTCGCGCGTAGGATTCGTGATGAATTCGCCCTCCTGGACAGGCCCTTATTTGTTGGTTGGCGTTGCTAGCGAGTACGAGTGTGTCACTCGCCAGTAACTCTAACTAGACAGTTTGACCGAAAAGTCTTCGTACTTTTAGGAGCAAGAGATGGTGGCGGACGAGCTGCGTGCGGCGGGCTTCTTCGACGTGTTCTCGGTGCCGGGCGGCGCGCCGCAGCAGCCCTGGCGCTGCTTCCTGTGCGCTCACCCCGAGCGCGCACAGGGCTTCGTGGCCGGCGCCGCGCCCGTCATCGAGGGCCAGCTGCAGGAGAAGAAGGGCCGCTGGCGCCTCTTCCGGCGCTGGCGCACCAGATACTTCACGCTCTCCGCCGCGCACCTGTCCTGCAAGGGCTCGGTACGTGACGTCACCACACTGCCGGCACGCCTGATACTTAAAGCTCTCCGTCGCGCATCAAGGGCTTAGTATGTCACATGAACGTCACACCACCGCGTACCTCCTGCAACCTACAATGGGTCGAGACGTGACGTCGCTCCTCTGTCGATGATCATCAACAGGACTATTCCCATCTCTCGTTCCCACAGCTGCAACTTCTGTGTAGCCAGGATCTACAACTTGATGGCTAATAAAAACCCAACCAATAAAGGTCAAGTTTGTCCCGGGGGAAAGTTAAATTATCATCAGACCCGCAACGAAATTAATCAGAAGAACATAAGAGTTCGAATTTAAGGTTCGACTTCCCTCCATTGCAAAACGGATGATTATTGGAATTTTTCTTACCACTACTTCAGTGACTAATCATTAAGAAGTCTTTAAAGTCCGGTCGCCGAGCGGATAGAATTTTGTACAATGACCCCAAGCTACCCATCCTTATCGCTGTTCGACGACCGGACTAGCAAAGAACACAATGAAAATATTGTTTAAACATTCCAGAGCGGCGGCGAGAGCATAGACATCAACCAGATCCGGTCGGTGAAGGTGTCCCGCGGCGCGCGCAACATCCCCAAGGCGTTCGAGATTTTCACCGGCGACCAGACGCTCATCCTCAAGCCCAAGCACGGCAAGGACGCCGAGCAGTGGGTGCAGTGTCTTAGCATCGCCGTCGCCCACTCGCAAGCGCGCGACGCGCCCGCCAAGGCCAACAGCCTGCCCGCCCGTGGTCTCACACTCAAGAGTTTCTAGTAAGTTCTACTAGGCCTGTTCATCTAGCGAGTTTGCATCGAAAACAAAACACGCGCGACACACCTGAGATATCTAATCGACAGGACAATCACGAGCTAGCATCGTGTACTCGTAGGCTAAGCGACGCGCCCGCAAGGCCAACAGTCTGCCCGCCCGTGGACTTACGCTCAAGAGCTTCTAGTAAGTGAAAATTCTTTAATGCCTCACTTGGCATCATGTACTCGCACGTAGGCTAGAGACTAGGGACGTTGGCTATGGCTAATACTCTGTCTGCCCGTGGCCTTACGCTCAAGAGCTTTTAGTAAGTTCCACATTCTGTCCGCAAACTGCATTATGCATAATTTATGCTACATCAAACTTGATATCGTCGCGCACTCACAGGCGCGCGACGCGCCCGCCAAGGCCAACAGTCTGCCCGCCCGCGGACTCACGCTCAAGAGTTTCTAGTAAGTTCTACTAGGCCTGTTCATCTCCGCGAGTTTGCATCGAAAACAAAACACGCGCGACACACCTGAGATATCTAATCGACAGGACAATCACGAGCTAGCATCGTGTACTCGTAGGCTAAGCACGGCAAGGACGCCGAGCAATGGGTGCAGTGCCTTAGCATCGCCGTCGCCCACTCGCAAGCGCGCGACGCGCCCGCCAAGGCCAATAGTCTGCCCGCCCGTGGACTTACGCTCAAGAGCTTCTAGTAAGTGAAAATTCTTTAATGCCTCACTTGGCATCATGTACTCGCACGTAGGCTAGAGACTAGGGACGTTGGCTATGGCTAATACTCTGTCTGCCCGTGGACTCACGCTCAAGAGCTTCTAGTGAGTTAAAATTCTTTAATGCCTCACTTGGCATCATGTACTCGTACGTAGGCTAGGGATTAGGGACGTTGGCTATGGCTAATACTCTGTCTGCCCGTGGCCTTACGCTCAAGAGCTTCTAGTAAGTTCCACATTCTGTCCGCAAACTGCATTATGCTTCAGTACATCAAATCATTGTTATCGTCGCGCACTCGCAGGCGCGCGACGCGCCCGCCAAGGCCAATAGTCTGCCCGCCCGTGGCTTTACGCTCAAGAGTTTCTAGTAAGTTCTACATTCTGTCCGCAAACTGCATTATGCTTCAGTGTATCAAACTTGATATCGTCGTGAACTCGCAGGTTAGGAACGTCGGCTAAGGCCAACAGCCTGCCCGCCTGTGGTCTCACGCTCAAGAGCTTCTAGTAAGTTCTATACATACTTTATATTAGAGCTGGCATCGTGTACTCGTAGGCTAAGGACGACGGCTATGGCCAACAGTCTGCCCGCCCGTGGACTCACGCTCAAGAGCTTCTAGTAAGTTCTACCAAGCCTGTTCAACTCCGCGAGTTTGCATCGAAAACAAAACACGCGCGACACACCTGAGATATCTAATCGACAGGACAATCGCGAGCTAGCATCGTGTACTCGTAGGCTAAGCACGGCAAGGACGCCGAGCAGTGGGTGCAGTGCCTTAGCATCGCCGTCGCCCACTCGCAGGCGCGCGACGCGCCCGCCAAGGCCAACAGTCTGCCCGCGCGTGGCCTCACGCTCAAAGGCTTCTAGTAAGTTAAAATTCTTTAATGCCTCACTTGCTGCCCGTGGCCTTACGCTCAAGAGCTTCTAGTAAGTGACACACACTGCAAATACATACTTTAGTATATTATACTTGGCATGGTGTAGGGGAGACCGAGGAGAGTTGTGACATTGTCGATTTTTTGTCGAGCTCGCAACAGTGCGCATTTTAGTTTAAAGTCTACGCTAAGAAATACGTTACCAAAAATCTACAATGTCACAACTCTCTTCTCTCTTCCCTACTCGTAGGCTATGGTCAATAGACTGCCTGCCCGTGGCCTTACGCTCAAGAGCTTCTAGTAAGTAGCATATACACACCCGTAAATTGAAAATACTTTAGCGCTTTAGTTAGCATCAGAAATTGGCGTTTAAAAGCTGTTAGTAAGTCTCGCTTCTGTACAAAAAAGTAACTGTATCCTACAGACAGCAAATAGCGACACATTCTGAACCCTGAATCGTCATAAATCTCTCGTAAGTTCTGGGAACTGCGGGATTGTAGCCGCCACGCCTTTAACCGACTTCAAAAAATTAACTATGATCTCGCAAAGTACTTAATTTGTTCAAGTCGCAAAAAGTCGTTATTTGAACTACTTAATGCCGCTGTATACGGCTTACATTAAAATTTTTGTAACTCCTGCGTTATCTTACCAGTAACTCCTGCGATTGTGAACTCTCAATAATTTGGGCATAAAAAGCTCTTTTACATATACGGTAAATCACAAGGACTTTTCCATGTGCTTTATTTTATTGATAGTAAGTTCGATAGTACTGATCGCCCTGTTCTTTTGAAATATACTCGATCACATTCCCTAACATGCGTCGTATTCTTAAAATCCTTTGAGAGCATTTCCTCTCATATTCATTTTTGATTTTATCCAACCATTATGATGCCCCCATGTTTAGTGGAAACAATAAATCGATTCTATTTTAACATTTTCGACGTACTTTTTTGTAGCCGATGTAACAGTAATTTAGTTAAATGTGCCTTATAAATTAGTGTTTGTTAATGAGGGTTACTTAAAGTACAATGATGTTAATACAATTTTATCGTTTTAAGAAGTAAAATGTATGATTTTTATTGTTAAGTTTTGTAATCTTGGTTAATGATTTTTGAAATAAGGACAATTTCTTGATACTTGAATGTTTTTGTTGCTGAATTTCGAAGAGAAAAGTTAGTGTGTTCGATTTAAATCAGATATTCATAGTCTGTTTATTGAACTACTTATTCCTTATTTTTCATTACAATGTTTACAATTGACATACTCGTATTTTATCCATTTGAGATTAAAAGAGATGTTGTCGAAGACTGATCGCTGGTCATAGCTCGTAGACTAGTGACGCGTGTGCACGTGAGACCACGTTTGTGATTCAAAATTGACATTCCCGTCCTGTGAGACAGTTGGCTCGATAATAATGAAATTATTATGGTCTCAAAATACATTTAATGGTTGTAACAAACAAGAATGACATTAGGGTTAGCTTTCCGAGCATTATGTTCGATTATTTTTAGTGCTAAGTTTTGTTTAGGCGATGTCTATGAATGCTGCCGTAAATCAGATACACTTGCCATTTTCATAATGCAATAAGCACAATTTTTGTAATACACTCGTGTGCTTAGTATATGCTTTTCGTAGACGAAGACGCTTTTTTTTCAATGAATTTTAGGTATCCATTTATAAATGTGTATACATAATAATTTAATTAGTGGCTCTATTTCCAACACAATAAGGTTTAATTTTGTAGACGTAAACCGGCCGGTTATGGTTTTCATTGCATAGTGTATTGGGTTATGTATATTCGATGATTTTCTTGATGAGTCTGATAATAGTAACAGTGTACCTGCCTGATTTGTTTTGCATACCTACATACCAGTGTTCAAGCCTGACTGTCATCATCACCAAATATAAAGTGTTCATTGAATTATTAATACATTGTAATTCTTAGATTGTGTGCGCTGCAAATCACACTATTGTGACAAAATGTATAAGCAAAGCTGATTAAAATGATGGAGATCAACATTATTTTCCAATCCCTTTTTTAAGCTGGTTGTACCTACATATTATCTGCAATGGTGCGAATTTGTAGCGCGACTCGTACTTATAACACTTATGCTATAAGGTGCTTAATATTGCTCAGTCCCTAAGCTAAATAGTTAGTTATGTAAAATAAATAAGATATACCACAAACTTAAGCAATCGAAACTGCTTATTGAATTAAATACATTATTATTAGTTTAAATCCAAGACATTATTATTGTAAAGTTGTCTCAAGATCTTTTGCGTATGTTTGATACTTACGAATATTTTTTTGCTATATTATTCAATCAGTATTTATGAATTAAAATGTTGTCAATTGAATACTATTTGTATATTTGGTTATATTATACTACTCATATCTAATTAAGGGAATTAAATGTAAAAAGTTTTTATAAAAGTTTTTCCCATTTTAAAACTGTAGATCTATAATGACTTTTTTTTAAACTGGCACTGAATATGGCAATGGAAAAGGAGAATTCAATATTAAGTAAAAATAAGTTGTATTATTTTCATTTACATAAATTACTTTACTATATCTGTTCAGAATCAAGGGTTATGGAACTTTCTAATGTAGTAGATATTTATAAAATTTTATACAATGTTAATTAAGTTTAAGTATAGCTTTAGCTTCTGAAACTTATGAACTTGGTGCTACATAATAATACATATTGTACCTAATTAACGAATTAGTGCTTCCATTGTAATTGGGTGTAAAGCGACACAATCCTGCTTTTATTACCTATACAAAATGTTTGGCTCTTGTACTTAAACATTTACTTATTTATTACAATAAATAACTAGTTCTGTTTGTATTCAATGGTTTTATTTTTATTTACATATTCTCATATTATATAGCCTGGACTCATGAGCATCAACTGCCGTTTGAAACCTGCATTGGGTTGCACGGCAGGTCTTTTCCCTTTAACTAAATTGTAAGCATCTTCATATTGCATACCTTTGTAATGCATTAAATATGCTATAGCGATCGTAGAAGTGCGAGACACTCCCGCGTTGCAGTGGACCAACACATTGACGCCCGACTCCACAGCTTTGTGGATGAATGGCAAACTGTCACAGAGTACAGGTTTTATATCTGTTTCAGGCAAATCTAAACAAACCACAAACTTATGCTCTACATCAACATACCCATCTATTCCTAGACTTAGCACACATTTAATATCATATTTTTCTAACACATTGCTTGCTGTACAATCTTGTGAACCTATGTACAGATGATCAACAATCATAACCGGAACATTGTCCGGTTTTGTATCGACGACAAAACCGTAAGTCGATTCGAGTTTTTCGACATTTCCACCTCTCTCCACAAACCTCTGTCCGTCCACTTTAGTCACCACTGTTTTTGTTTCTTTTAGTTTATTTTTCTGTTTCGTCAATTCACTGAGGAAACTCATGTTTATTCACTGTCACTTAAGTCGGTGTCTTCTTGTTTTTCTGCAGTTAGTGCCGCGTCGTCGTGGTATACAAGGTCCTGAGGATTGTACTCCACTTTGCACAAGTAAAGTCCATCTGGGGGACAGCTGGGAATGAATGTGTGCCAGGAATGCTTGGAAGGCACTTGTAACATTACCTTTATCTCTTCAGGAGGTAATTTACCGATTGCACAACTGATGAGTGTTCCCATCATCCGTCGGATCTGAAATAAGGGGTAACAAAATGTAAATAATATGGTATAATTCTTGAATCTGAGTCAATTCAATCAACTGCTTCACTGGTAGTAGAATTATCTGTGGCAAAACATGGCTAAGTAGATTGAGATGAGCAGTTTTATTCAGTTATTGCATATGTGTAACTCTAACTAGTGACCTTGCAGGTGGCAAGGGATGTCTGCTCCTACCACATAAAATAGGTACTGTTGACATTCTTTTGAGCACGAATTACAAATTGGCTGCTACAGAACTATGTAGTATTTATTCTGTGATGCTACTTATTGCTTTCTCTGCAGAGGAGACTATGTTCTACAGTGTGGAGACTATAGTGACTGTACGCATACCTGGTTGTGAACAAACGCGCGCCCCCTGAACTCCACCTCCCAATGATCAAAGATGGACTCCTCCGCTTGCGAGTGTGACGTCACGAGCGGCGCGCCGGGCCGCACCGCGACGGAATACAACTCGCGCCGGTTCGACTTGTTCTGCTTCAGCTTGTCGAACTTCTTGAAGGTGGTGAAGTCGTGGTACCCCACTAAATACTTCGCGCCTTCTTTCAGCTTCTCAATGTCAAAGTTGGATAGCCTTAACAAAATAAAAATAATGATTTGTTACATAGTTTCTTACATCTATTGTCATAATTATTAATTACAGTCAAAATAGTTTTTAAATTATGTGTTCTTTTCAATTAACAGTCCAATTTTAACAGTAATTTCTGGCTTAATAGAACATACACAATTTTAATCAAGAGGTATAACTAACTTTTAATAAGGCAATGGGCTGCTAGATCATAGAGGATATAACTAATTCTCTAAATGCTAGATCTAATTCTAGATAAAAATGTTATGTTACCTTGTGAAATGGCACCTCTTCCATTCTTCAATAGGTATGTGTGATGCTATGCAAGAGTGTTCTGGTAGAACTTTATCTTTTTTCAGTACGGCAAGTCTATAATTAACAAATTAATCTATTCAATCTTGCTCATTCCTTGTCAAATAAACAATTTGATATATTAAACCAAGTTAAAACTTACCTATACAAATATGTTCTAGATAATGCTTTAAATCTGGCATTAAAATCATCAGGAACCCTCAAGCACTTCTTGACAAATATGCTACTATTTGTGTTGTAAAAGTACTTGTTTAAGACATAGCAAATGTGGGGCGGATCATAAATTTTGGCGCCATATCTGTCCAAATCAAAGTGGGCACTGGAACACAGCGCATGCACTCCACCATCTGTGCTAAGGAAAAATTATAAAATATAAATCAATTTATTATATTTTGTTTTAAATAGTAATAATAAGTAACAAACCTCTTGGTATAAAATAATTATAATAATATTCATTCTTTCTATTTCCACAACTATCATATTACAGAATTTACAGGTAATATTATTGCCTTCTATTAGTAGTAAGTATCATACAACAGCTTGTAATTCAAGGAAAATCACATGAAAAGTAAATCTAGAACATGATTTTACTGTAGTCTAGTCACATCAAAAGTAAGTCTTGACCATTAATTCACTATATTGATATTCTAGGTGGAAACTATTACACCTCAATTATTTATCTTCTAGATACAATGAGATGTAGACATAATATCAATTAGACGATATTTGATGATTGATGTATAAAAAATTAACAAAGTAATAAAATATGAACTTACAGGGGACAAGCTTACCGGCTAGACAGGGTAATTTGCGGATAGTTCAAAGACTTCAGTTTATATAGCCCCATTTCTATCATTCCTTGCACACTATCAGGATCAGGATATTGACTTTTGCCTTTAACCCTTAATTTTTCTGAAGATCTGGGGGTTATTGCAATAATAATTAATACCCTACAATCGTGAGTAATCTTGGTAACAATTATTTATTATCAATTTTATTAGTTTCTTACCTAAATCTGGTTCCTATGTACGAAAAGAATGCTAAGTATCTAGCTTTCATTGTTAGCCACAACCACTACTTATGTTAAATTGAATTGATTGATTTACTAAATAAAATAAAAATAATTGAACTCATGAACTGTGCGTTTTGAGGTTAGCCTTTGAAATATGACAGATTTGACAGCTGTCATAGAGTGAACAGCTGACTTCCATCAGTGAAAAAATCCTAAGCGCTTTAATAAATGCGGAGTGAAGTGAATACAAATAAACACAGGGGCGAAGAGATGTCGGAATAAAAACTACTGCTAATGTTACTTTGTCTAGACTAGAGTCTAGACACTGCTGTTTTTAGATTTTTTTACATTCTGTGTGGAAAGGAATGGTTTTAGTTTGACATTGACAAGTTGTTTCATTCATCTTGTTTTCTTTCATCATTCATTCATTTGTCATTGTCGAAAATGGCACAACGGACGTGGCATATGTTTACATTGTTAACAGTAATATTTACAATTTTATCACTCGTCGGAGATGTTTTCTCTACATCAGCGGCACCATGGTACGAAAATCTACCAGCGGTCACCATGGATTATAAGGTTCACATAGACGCCGGGAAGGAAGACTGCTACTTTCAGTATGTTCAGCCGGGCGCTACGTTTTACGCCAGCTATCAGGTAATTAACGTGTTTTTCCGTTTTTATCGCATATGTTCCACATTAGCGTTTGGTTCTGGTCGGTTAGTGTTTTATAATCAAGTTAGACTGTCGTTAATGTGATTGAAAAACTAAGTGACGTTTGTGAACTTTCTAATTTGTAGGTGTTGAAAGGTGGCGATGGAATGTGCGGGTTCGCGGTGCGGCACCCGAACGGGCAGATCGTGCACCCGTACGAGTGGCGGCAGAGCGCGGAGTACGCCGACCAGTCGTCTTCAGGCGGCTACTACGCCGTGTGCATCGACAACCAGTTCTCGCGGTTTGCCGGCAAGCTCGTCAACTTGTACCTGTCTGTCATCCGGTATGACATGTGGGAGAAGTACGCTAAGGAGGTGGAGGAGATGGACATGAACATAAAGAACTTTACTGTAAGTATTTCCTTTCTTCTTCATTCTGATTCAAGTGAATGTCAAAAAAATATATCAAACCGACAAGCAAATTATTTACACAAATTAGGAGTTGTGGTGGTGTTTAACATGCAAATATACTAATATTTCAGATAGGTAAAGAACCTTTAAAATGCTTCACTAGTAGCATTATCTGTGGCAAAACATGGCTAAGTAGATTGAGATGAGCAGTTTTATTCAGTTATTGCATGTGTAAGTGTAACTGCTGCCCTTGCTGACAAGCAAATTATTTACAAAAATTAGGAGTTGTGGTGGTGTTTAACATGCAAAAATATTTCAGATAGGTAAAGAACCCTTAAAACGGCTCACATACATAGGATTTTATGAATAAACAATACAATTAATGTAGTATTGGAAAGCTTGAACAAACTGGCATCCTAAAGATGCAGGTCCCGAATCATATCTGTAAGAAAGGTAATTAGTTCTTTTGCTTTTGTTTCAGAACTCTATCCAGTTTGTGGAACGTAATATTAATGATATACTGCAATACCAGTACCATTCTAGAGCGAGAGAGTCTCGAGACTACAATTTGTTGATGGACAACAATAATTATGTTTTAAGGTAATTTTCCTTTCAAACTTATCAAATTAATTAAGCTTTGAGGCAATATATCAAATTAGTTATAGCAGAATTCCATACCTTTGCAATGTTTATCAAACAACCTTGAATTTGTATTAAAACCAACATGGATTGATTTTCTAATTTCATTAATGATATCAAAAAATGATAACTCATGATTGGATTTTCCCCACAGTACTATGTATTGTATTATTCGGCACAATGTTACCAGTTTTCATAACAAATCCACAACCATTAGTCATCTACAGTATTGCAAATACCTATATTTCATTTTTAGGAAGACATTACACATGTAGCAAAAGAACTGAAAAACATAACTAAATGATTGGTAGAAATAAATTATTTTGACATTTCTTACAGGTGGTCATTTATCCAAATCCTGGCGATAGCAACAACAGCCACACTGCAGGTCTATTTTGTTCGAAAACTGTTTGAAGTCAAAGACAACTCCTCCAAGACAAGGATATGATGTACTTCAGGTCCGCACAGGGTGATCTATGACTTGTTATCTCAACGCACATTCGACTGAACATTCCTGTTATTTAATTTCTTCGTTCTGGACTTCGATCTCTGTATCCATTGTGTTAGTAGCTTGGTTTCTATAGTCATAATAAGTAACAGTGCATTCATTAGTTTTAATTTTGCATGTAAGGTACACAATCATTTCCAATAGCTCTAAATACTGTATAGAAATTGAATTGTGTTTACATTCTTATCCATGATATCTGAGATTAACATTTCTATGATCTGAATAATTTTAAGTATTTTTAAATGGATTTTTTACTTATTCTAAGTTAAATTGTTTTATATTTATTTGTAACAAGTCAAAATATTTTTTAATTTATTTACAAAAACAAAATGAATAAATCAATTTCAAAGCTTGACATTTTTTATACTACTTTTGTACTTGTAAGTGTTACCAATTTGTTGAGAAAATTGGCTTTTAAATGCTGATTCTATTGCTTACAATAATAGTTCATGTACTTTAGGTTTGTTGTAAAATAAAAAGTTAAGTACATAAAATAATAAAAAATATATTTCCTATCTTAGTTTGTTTCTTTCTAAATAAACAATATTTATGATTTTGGTGTCTTTGCAGTAGTGTAACAAATTAATCAAATTAGAGGGCTGTAATAAAGAAAATAACATGCTTTAAAGAAATTTATTATATTTGATAATATTCATCATTATTACATAACTATAAATAGATCTCACCGACTAATACATGTCATTAACTCTATATACAAAACAATAATTTACTAGAGTAAGTACAATAGATATTGGTGATGATACTTATTACAATTTCATTGCCTACTAATGTCATTAAACGGAATGTTAATACAATTTATTATATTGAAATTTATCCGTGAACATCGAAAAATATGTAATAATATAACATTTGACTCATTCGCTTATATGACTAGGTAATTTTAGAAAATTGCGGTCAAGCGAAGCGGAGACATACAAAATACACAATATAGTGGGCGAATACACTCGTAAACTTAACAACTAATCAGTAAAGGTTCCTAATTAGAAAATATTCTGTACAATAAATTGCCGTGAATCTCATGCGTAACTGTACATTTCACATCTAACAATAATTAAACATAGCATTATAAAGAATACTCATTGAGAGTCAGCCCCGTCCCATCGAGTGGGCGACAGCGAGCACCGTGTTAGTAAACGTGTCCAAAAGTACGCTTCTTACGTCTAAGTAAAGGCAGTGTCTGGACGGACGAGCGTCGTTTCCAGTGCGTCACACTTAATAGTGCAAATTACAGACTTCCTAAATAACTCCTACCAAACTTCGCGAGGACCGCGGTTCCAAAAAGTGAGCACCATTGTGTTTGTTAACCAGGATTGTTAAAGCTAATAGCTAAACTACAAAGTGTTTGACAGATTGTGATATTAATTAGTTTTTGTGATGTCTTTGCAGTAACTAGTGAAATAAGGAAAATTAGGTGTAGTTATAGTTATTGTAGATATACAGTAGATTCTATAGGAGCACCATGTTTCTTTCGTAGAATGCAATCCTTTCCTGCCAAAGAACTTGATATCGTAAATATTTTATCTCATAACGTTTGCTGGCTCACAGTTTAATTAAGCCGGAAACCAGTATCAGAATGACTAATTTGTTATTTAAATGTGGTAATGTAGTGGCGACACCTTAATCTAAGTTACGCGCGCGTAAATTCAGAACTTCGGAAACCTGTTTAAAAATGTAATGTTCTTCAAGCGGTGGTCTCTCACGCTGTTAGCACTTATCTAAATGGGCAATTGCCGCATAGCAGCCTTCGTCACCGAGGTTTAAAGGTGACTTCGTTTCCTTAAAACTGCCGCGTATCCGAGAGCGTTGCCTGGAGATGAGCGGTCGAGTGGTGATTGGCGATCCGCTCAGCTGTTTAATCCAGAGCGAGAGAAAGTAGGTCGCTCAGACCGGTGCCGATTCACTCAGCTGCCCAATCTGGACCGAGTGTAGGTTAGTCGCTCTGAGCAGGCAGTGCTCTTGGTAGTTGGAGATGAGTGGATTAGTGACGATCTTGTTTTCTCAAATCTGGAGGCACCAGCAGCCTCTTTTCTCAGAGCAGCGTTAACTATACATCCAACAGTATTAGCGATCCGTTCAGCTGTCAAATCCACTGGGCGTCGCTTCCCTCAGAGCGACGCTAACCATACATCCGACAATGTTAGCGATCTCGTTTTTGTCAAGTCCGGAGTGGGCGTGGCTTGCTCAGCATCTGACAGTATTGGCGATCCGTTCAGCTGTCAAATCCAGATTGGCGTGGCTTCCCTCAGAGCGGCGCTAACTATACATCCGACAATGTTAGCGATCTCGTTTTTGTCAAGTCCGGAGTGGAATCTGGAGCGAGAGAAAGTAGGCCGCTCAGACCGGTGCCGATTCACTCAGCTGCCCAATCTGAAGCAAGTGTAGATTAATCGCTCTGAGCAGGCAGCGCTTTTGAGATAAGCGGATGACGATCAAATCCTCGCCTGCAGCCTCTAGTCTCAGAGCGGCGCTAACTATACATCCAACAGTATTAGCGATCCGTTCAGCTGTCAAATACAGAGTGGGCGTCGCTTCCCTCAGAGCGGCGCTAACCATACATCCGATAGTATTGGCGATCCGTTCATCCGTCAAATCCAGTGTGGGCGTGGCTTCCCTCAGAGCGGCGCTAACTATATATTCGACAGTGTTGGCGATCCGTTCAGCTGTCAAATCCAGTGGGCGTGGCTTGTCTCAAAGTGGGCGGCGCTTGTGCGCGAGGTAGGTGGCGGAGAGCGCGAGCAGGCGGTACCGCTGGCGCAGGTTGCGCGCGCGCACGTGAGGCGACGCGATCTCCGCCGTATACGCGCCCGGGAACCAGCCCGCCTCGCCGTCACGTGTGCGCTCGCCGTAGTACCAACCTGGAGGATAACACTGATTAGTTTCAACTCTGTGGGAATGGGTGTTAGGTCGCGTTTTGATTGTGTTTTTGTACATTTTTACATGCATACGAGTATGTCAAAAGTTCATTTTACTTCGCATCAATAGAAACGTATCCTTAGGCTTGATTTCGTCCTACGCTGACGTCGGTCGCGTACATCGGTCGAGCGTACGAATAAACACAATGTTCTATGAAGCACCGCACTGCAACGCCGTCGTCAGCGGCAGATGATTACATAGAACTAGTGTGTCATCGTGCGCGCCGCTGACGTCGGTCATCGATGTCAGCCTAAAAGGAAATCAAGCCTTAAGGATAGATTGGCAAATCTTTAGGACATCTCACGCGAATGTTAATTTACTAAACAACAGTCGTTGCTAGTTGACTATTAAGTTCCGGTGACCACAAGAGGATGAGTCCCGTGATTCTAGCTGGTTTTGCACATGACAAGTGCCACCTGCGGGCAGTCCCGGCCGCTGGTGTCACGCGTGACAGTGACAGTGTCCCAGCTAGCGACCTACCCTCGCTGGTCTTGCGCGTGACGTTGACGATGTCTCCCTCGGCCAGCGGCAGCTCGTCGGGCTGGGCGGCGCGGTAGGCGTAGAGCGCGGCCACCTGCGGGCAGTCCCAGCCGGCGTAGACGGCCTCGCCCTCCGCTCCCTCGGCCGGCGGCGCCAGCGCCTCGCTCCAGCGCGACGCGTCCGTCTCGCTCGGGCACGACATCAGCTGCGGGGAAAGGACAAATCAATATCGAGACAAGACCTCAATATTCCGAGTGCTTAGTACGATTTCACGAAACGTCATCGCTAGCGACTGCGTAAAAAATATATGAAAGATTGTACAGCGCCCCTTGCGGATACTTTCAACTAAAATCTTCATAGATTTTTTGACGCACTCGGTAGCGATGCGAAAACGTTCAATACAAACTCGCACTAAGCACATTGATAATAATATAGCGCTGCGATTACTGCTCAGTGCTCTCGGTGGTGGGTGTGAAGCAGAGCAATGCTCGCAGTGCTATATCGGAACATACCCCTGAATAATTAGACGATAAACGATTTACCACTAAAAATAAAGTACATCTGTTGGGCTAAAAGTTTACACCTCAATGGGTTACTGAAATAGGTTTTTGTTTCCCAAAGACCATAATTGTGACCATTAATAAAAGACGGGTGTGAAGTACATATTTCATTTACAGGCACATTGCCATTGCATATCCACGCATGCGCTAGCTGCGCATACGCATACACCTATCCCGAACAGGTCATGTAAATATTAGGTTGATTTACGGATCCTCCACACTAGCGTCTTTCGAGTGTCATTTTCTTGTCAGCACTCGTCCAGCGTTAATACGTCACTGGTTCACCGTCACCGCGACGCCAATACTTAATGGCTGCCGAACGCCGGATCTACGCAGAATGCGGCGCCAATGGGCGTTGCGTCGACGTTGGCGAAAAGATGCTAGTGTGCGGGATACCCTAGCTAAAGCCTGGTCATTGAGCACGTAGAATTTTGTCCAATGACCCCAAGCTACCCGAGGGTACCCTATCGCTCGCGCGTAATTATGTTGCTGTCGCGCTCGCACACTCACTGCGGGCGCCCGTCGCACAGTCGCGACAGCAATATAATTACGCGCGAGCGATAAGGATGGGTAGCTTGGGGTCATTGGACAAAATTCTACGTGCTCACGGACCAGGCTTTAGTATACAATGTATTATATTCTAATGTAGTAGTGCTCACCATCTCGACGGTACGCCCCTCGTGGCGTGGTCCGCGGCCACGTACGACTCCTCGCTAAGGTAGGGGATAATGTACCTTATTACAAGAGCCATAAACACCATCTCGACGGTGCGGCCCTCGTGGCGTGGTCCGCGGCCACGTATACTCCTCGCTAAGACAGGGGATAATGCACTCTATTACAAGAGCCATACGCACCATCTCGACGGTGCGGCCCTCGTGGTGTGGTTCACGTCTTCGCTAAGGTAGGGGATAATGCACTCTATTACAAGAGTCATACGCACCATCTCGACGGTGCGCCCCTCGTGGCGTGGTCCGCGGCCACGTATACTCCTCGCTAAGGCAGGGGATAATGCACTCTATTACAAGAGCCATACGCACCATCTCGACGGTGCGTCCCTCGTGGTTCTCGAGCAGCGTGAGCAGCAGCGCGTGTCTTGCCGCCGCCGCGCCGCCGTCGCTGCCGCACACCTCCAGTAGTGAGCGGGCGCAGTGGTCCACGGCTACGTATGACTCCTCGCTGTGGATAATGTACTTTATTACAACTGGTTTACAACCGCTTAAAGGTTCTTTTAAGTGCTATTGATAGCTTGTACACATTTACAAGCATATCCAACGATCTGGTGAAGCACTGGATGCGGGCAGCACAGGATCGGTCGTTATGGATATTATTGGAGAACGCCGTTGTTCAGCAGTGGACGTCATTTTGTTAAAACGAAGTTGTGAGTTAATTATGCCGCATTAATTGTGTAATGCAGAAAAGTTATGGAGTGGCGACCACGAACCAGAAAACATGGTATACGCAGGCCTCAAAGCCTCTCACTCTATGAACCGATGATCTGGCGAAAATCGCGGAAATCCTGACATGCTGCCCGAATTCATGTTGCCGCTGTCTAGGGCCGGTAATAATGGAAATCCGAGGAGATTTTTGTGGAAATTCATGGGGATCTTTGTCCAGGAGTGGACTGCATTAGGTTGAAATAAAAAAAAAATAGCCTGGTTGCGGGCAGCGCAGGACCGTTCATTATGGAAAACCTTGGGGGAGGCCTTTGTCCAGCAGTGGATGTCATTTGGCTGAAATGAACGAAAAAAAATAATTGTTAGACATGGACCTATAAAAAAAGGCGGACGGAACTCGCGCTACAACAAAACTGTGACGCAAAATTTTGGCGTTTGTCTATTGTGTGAGTGAATTTAGGGATGCCATGTTAGCCAAAACATTTTACCCATTTATTTTAAGAAAAACATAGATGGGCAGATATGTTACTTGGAAATGTAGACGAAATTATATCGTGCCATTTGAAAAGGATGAAAGATGAATACGTTGAGGTAGACGCGAAATTTTCAAATTTTCTTACTTTGTTTGCAAGTCAGTGTCAGGTACGATTCACGCAGTTACAAATTATCAATCTTGTGTACCTACGTAATCATATTCTTATGTATCATCAATATTATTATCTCTGATAGATTTTAACATACAACCTGACACTGACTTGCAAAAATATAAGAAAATTTGAATTTCGTAGTTCCACGCCCTTGGGAAGGATCAAATCTGCCTACGAAAATATATATTATCCCATTAAAACACAGTTATTATGATACATTATTTTATTTCAATAGTATGCGTAATAAAAACCTAAAAAGTCTTAAAATTATAGATTTCCCACTTTTCGGGTAATTTTCCCACGTAAATAACTGAGAACACTGGCTTTTGACGTATTATTTTGTCGGGTGATTGACGTTTGATTTTAATATTTTAATGTTTATAAAATCGGGGAAATAAGTGATTAGATTATTAGTTTACCTGTGAAATGTGATTCCTTGATTTTTGTTCGTTCGATCAGAACGGTTTTTACACAATTTCACCACGCAAGACATGTCGTATTTGTGTTTTTTTTTCGCCGCGTAAATGTGTCAACTGTGTGAAGTTTGCACTCGAAGTGGTGTATCAGGGTATGAATGTGTGCGTGCCGGCCTGTACGTACAGGCGAGCTGGTATATCCTAATGTCACAGTATTTTGTTGATGAGAATCCGTCCGTTGTTAGACGACTGACCTCTTCTTCTTGGTGATGACGAGCAGGTCGTTGAAGAGGAACAGGTGCAGCGGCAGCTTGTGGAACTTCTTGCCGAACGTCAGCTTCAGCTCGTCCGCCTTCCACACCAGCTGCGTCATCTCGCCCGACCGCACCAGCCAGCGCACCGGCCTGCGAGACACGAGATTAGACTCTATGACTCTAAAACATGTTGTTACATTGATAAAATTGTAAGACCAACTCATATTGCTCTGTAATTTTTTTTCACACATGTTTATGTAAATAAATATCTTTATCTTTATGCTGATGAACTTAAGATTAACATTGCCCCGTGACATTTATGTGAATTGCAATTCAAGTATACGGGTGATAAAAATATCGCTCCCTTTGCCACGTTGGAATAGAAATAACTTAATAGTTAGTTATGCTAATGCATAAGTCATCATGGCGTGTTCATGTGGCGTTCTCTGCGCTTGCGACGATGCACGGGCTTGTCCATGAGCTCGTCTATGAGCTCATACGAACACTTATAATGTATACTAATAGCTAGAGATGGTCATGGAGTTTAGAATTTATATTATACAAAAGCGTATTGTCATCTACATAAAATAATGTGCTCGTAATATTTTAGCTGTCAGTATCTAACGCCCGTATTCACAGCGATGCTTGCTTATGTGAAGCAGAAAAACGAACGCACAGCGTTGAATATAGCTCTGTGATTGGTTCGTTTGTCACCCTGTGCGTCCACGCGCACTATGAGACTTCATAGTAATGTTTGTGAATACGGGCGTTAGACAATATGAAATGGATTTTTTTTCATTTCATAAGAAAAATAGGCCCCGGATTGCATTACTCATAACGACAATCCAACACTAAAACACCCTTGACTCTCTTGTTTCAGAGTTCAATTTACCTTCTATCCCGTCGCCCGCAGGCGGGGCCCAGGAGCGGCGGGTCGCGGATGTGCGGGGGGAACTCGATGATCTAAATGAGTCGGAACATCTCCTTAACCCGCTTCATGTTGCGCGCGTTTTCGAGCATGGAGTAATGACCCTTAACCCTCTTGTTTTAGAGTTCAATTTACCTCCTATCCCGCCGTCCGCAGGCCGGACCCAGGAGAGGCGGGTCGCGTATGTGCGGCGGGAACTCGATGATCTGAGCGAGTCGGAACATCTCCTCAACCCGCTCCGTGTTGCGCGCGTTTTCGAGCATGGACTTAAGACCCTTAACCCTCTTGTTTTAGAGTTCAACTTACCTTCTATCCCGTCGCCCGCAGGCCGGGCCCAGGAGTGGCGAGTCGCGGATGTGCGGCGGGAACTCGATGATCTGAGCGAGTCGGAACATCTCCTCGACTCGCTCGGTATTCCGAGCGCCCTCGTTGCACTGTGATACGAACTGGGGACAAAGGGATCATTGAGAGACTGGTTCTGTGATTCTTTTACCTCAGCTACTCGTCAAGTTGGCCGAAGTTAATCGAAATAAGATAGTGTGGTGGACACGTACTTCACTTCGAGCAAACTTGCCTCGCTTTGCTCGACTTCCGATTGTTGCCGGTATTGTACCTACCGGACTCAAAAGGCCCGAAAGCGTCTAGAAGTTTGAACACGAAGTGTCTGACTACACTACTCGGCTAACTTCGGTACTTCATCGAAACGCCAAAGGAAGTAGCTGAGATATGTTGTGATGATCTCGTGCTTGACAGACCATTTATTAAAAGTTTTCCAAAAATGATTTTGAACTTCATTACATTTTGTAGTAAACGCTATTGAGAGAGGCAGGCAGGTTCTGGAGTGGAGGCCGCGTACCGGAAAACGCAGCGTGGGACGTCCACCCACAAGGTGGACCGACGACATCATAAAGGTAGCAGGAAGGCGCTGGACGCAGGCCGCTACCAATCGATCAACATGGAAATCATTGGGGGAGGCCTATGTTCAGCAGTGGACGTCCTGGGGCTGAGACGATGATGATGATTGAGAGAGGCTCAAACTAGCATGCAGCTCTTGTGGTTTTTACTAAAGCGTCTATTAATTCAATATGAACACCAAAGCTTGGTGGCAAGCCTATGGTACTTACTCCGTTGAGCGTGGCGAGCGCCAGCATGCAGCCCTGGTACCTACTATAGTCTGGGCTGTGAGCACGTAGAATTTTGTCCAATGACCCCAAGCTACCCATCCTTATCGCTCGCGCGTAATTATATTGCTGTCGCTACTGTGCGACTGGCACCCGCAGTGAGTGTGCGAGCTAGGGGTGAACAAATTTCTACGTGCTCACAGACCGAGCTTTAATCGCCATTAGTATTTAAGAGGGGACTGGGGAGGTTGAGGTCGAAGCCAGTATATTACTCACTCCGTTGAGAGTGGCGAGCGCCAGCATGCAGCCCTGGTACTCGGGATCCTGCGGCGGCAGGTGCTTGAGCACGGCGTCCAGCAGCAGCGGCAGGCGCGTGACCCGCTGCATCGGCAGCATCAGGAAGCTGTGCAGCGACAGCGACTGGCACGCCGGGTGGCTCTCCAGTCTGTAGACACGGGACAATATCTTGATTAACCCATGTAGCGGTAAGACAAACTCTTTGCGCCGAGTACAGTCTACGGCGGTTGCTATGGTAACCGGTTATCTTGTTATGTCACTAAGACGTCAAGGAGTAAAATATGATATTTTACAATATATTTTATAAAGTGACTAGCGGCCGCCCGCGACTTCGTACGCGTGGATCCCGTTTTACCCCCTTCATCTATCTTACGCGGTTTAGATTTTTTCATACAAATGTTTTTTCCCGCTAACTCCCGTTCCCGTGGGAATTTTTCAATATCCTGTTGTAACTAAGCTTTAAGTTTACTAAGGTACTTGCATGCGTCTAACTTAAGCGGTTTAGATTTTTCATACAAAAGGATTTTCCCGGTAATTCCCGTTCCCGTGGGAATTTCGGGAATTCCTTTCTTAGTGCACCTTTACGGTACCTAAGCTACGTCCCTTACACAATTCAAGTGCCTACGTTTAGCCGTTTAGGCTGTGCGTTTATATGTCAGTCAGTCAGTCAGTTTCTCCTTTTATACTATACTAGCTGACCCGGCGAACTTTGTTCCGCCTTAATGGCAATAAATAAGCAGACTTTTTTAAAATTTCGAACGGGATAAAAAGTATCCTATGTCCTTCTCCTGGCTCTAAACTACCTCCCGGACAATTTTCAGCTAAATCGGTTCAGCCGTTCTTGAGTTATAAGCGAAGTAACTAACACGACTTTCTTTTATATATATAGATTTAGATTTAGATATCTAAGGTCAATACATTAGCGTCACTCAACATCGTTATGACGCCAACTCAATGTTTTTTTCCGTCCAATTGACGCAAAATCCTTATTCCCTTGTGCAACCTCTGCGTTCGGCAGCTGTTTAGTGTCGGCGTAACGGCGACGCTAAACCAGTGCCGCGTCGACGCTGCGCGGGCGTTGGCAAGATGACAACGTTCGAAAGACGCTAGTTAATCTGCAAACGCCGGCTTTTCTTTCAGCCGCTGCAGGGCTCGTACCATGAGCGCCTGGTGTTTGCAGTACTTGACGTACTCAACTAATAAGCTTACTAAGATACAGCAGTTGTTTCTTACCTCTTCAACGCTGCAGCAAACGCCGGCTTTTCGCTTAGCCGCTGTAGCGCGTGCACCATTAGCGCCTGGTGCTCGCAGTACTTGACGTTGACAGTCTAAAACTACAAGCTTGATACAGCAGTTGTTTCTCACCTCTTCAGCGCTGCAGCGAACGCCGGCTTCTCTCTCAGCCGCTGCAGCGCGCGCAACATGAGCGCCTGGTGCTCGCAGTACTTGACGTACACGGCGAAGTGCCGCTCGGCGTGTTCCCGCACGATGTCGTACATAAAGTGCTTTTTGTTTACATCAGCACATATTAGTTCTTACCTCTTCAGCGCTGCAGCAAACGCCGGCTTTTCTCTCAGCCGCTGCAGCGCGCGCACCATGAGTGCCTGGTGCTCGCAGTACTTGACGTACACGGCGAAGTGCCATCCAGCGTGCTCGCGTACGATATCGCAGATAAAGCGCTTTATGTTTACACCAACATAATATTAGTTCTTACCTCTTCAGCGCTGCAGCAAACGCCGGCTTTTCTCTCAGCCGCTGCAGCGCGCGCACCATAAGCGCTTGGTGCTCGCAGTACTTGACGTAGACGGCGAAGTACCATTCAGCGTGCTCGCGCACTATGTCACAGATGAAGCGCTTTATCTAATTGTTTCTTACCTCTTCAGCGCTGCAGCGAACGCCGGCTTTTCTCTCAGCCGCTGCAGCGCGCGCACCATGAGTGCCTGGTGCTCGCAGTACTTGACGTACACGGCGAAGTGCCGCTCGGCGTGTTCTCTCACGATGTCGTACATAAAGCGCTGTATCTTTACAACAACACAAATGGTTCTTACCTCTTCAGCGCTGCAGCGAAGGCCGGCTTGTCTCTCAGCCGCTGTAGCGCGCGCACCATGAGTGCCTGGTGCTCGCAGTACTTGACGTAGACGGCGAAGTACCATTCAGCGTGCTCGCGCACTATGTCACAGATGAAGCGCTTTATCTAATTGTTTCTTACCTCTTCAGCGCTGCAGCGAAGGCCGGCTTGTCTCTCAGCCGCTGCAGCGCGCGCACCATGAGCGCCTAGTGCTCGCAGTACTTGACGTAGACGGCGAAGTGCCGCTCGGCGTGTTCCCGCACGATGTCGCAGATAAAGCGCTGTATCTTTACAACAACACAAATGGTTTTTACCTCTTCAGCGCTGCAGCAAACGCCGGCTTTTCTCTCAGCCGCTGCAGCGCGCGCACCATGAGTGCCTGGTGCTCGCAGTACTTGACGTAGACGGCGAAGTGCCGCTCGGCGTGTTCTCTCACGTTGACGCAGATAAAGCGCTGTATCTTTACAACAACACAAATGGTTCTTACCTCTTCAGCGCTGCAGCAAACGCCGGCTTTTCTCTCAGCCGCTGCAGCGCGCGCACCATAAGCGCTTGGTGCTCGCAGTACTTGACGTACACGGCGAAGTGCCGCTCGGCGTGCTCGCGCACGATGTCGTACATAAAGCGCTATATTTTTACAACAACAGAAATGGTTCTTACCTCTTCAGCGCTGCAGCAAACGCCGGCTTTTCTCTCAGCCGCTGTAGCGCGCGCACCATGAGTGCCTGGTGCTCGCAGTACTTGACGTAGACGGCGAAGTGCCGCTCGGCGTGTTCCAATAAAGATCGCAGATAAAGCGCTTTATGTTTACACCAACACAATATTAGTTCTTACCTCTTCAGCGCTGCAGCAAACGCCGGCTTTTCTCTCAGCCGCTGCAGCGCGCGCACCATGAGCGCCTGGTGCTCGCAGTACTTGACGTACACGGCGAAGTACCGCTCGGCGTGTTCCCGCACGATGTCGCAGATGAAGCGATGTATCTTTGCAACAACACAAATGGTTCTTACCTCTTCAGCGCTGCAGCGAACGCCGGCTTTTCTCTCAGCCGCTGCAGCGCGCGCACCATAAGCGCTTGGTGCTCGCAGTACTTGACGTACACGGCGAAGTGCCGCTCGGCGTGTTCCCGCACGATGTCGCAGATGCCAGCTAGAAGGATGTTGTCCTGCCAGCACTTCTCCAGCTCGTTCATCAGGAGTTGCGAGCACTTGCGCACTGGGGAAGAAAATGTTTATTGTAGAAGTAATGCAATCAGTGTGGGGACAAAACGAGGCTGTGCCCTACAAAATGTGGAGTAGAAAATGTTTTGATATGACTGCTTATTGTATGCTAGTCATGAAATGAAAGTTTCGATCTTAAGAAGCCAAAGCCTATCTTGAATTGAATCAAATCAAATCAAATCAAATCAAATATATTTATTTTGCGAACATGGGTAAACGTAGGTATTACAAGTATTTTAGTATCTCCATCTTCCACCTTTTGGAACCAACATTTAATCTTGTTCCCTTTTCTTGATTTTATGACAAAAATGTCTATGGGAAGTACCATTTTCAAATATGGCGGGTGACGGTGTACCTTATTGTAATGACTAAAATTCAGTCCAGAGCTCCACACCTGTCGTCAGTAGGTACAAGGTGTAACCTCCTGGTGAGTATCAGAAATATAACCTTCTTTTTGTGGGATTCACCAGGCAGAATGGTAGCGAACAGCGTGTCCCAATCGTCCCAGGACACCATATATTTGTGGAACTTACCAGGCAGTATGGTCGCGAACAGCGTGTCCCAGTCGTCCCGGGACAGTATATGTGGTTCGCGGAAGGCGGGGTGCGCCACGAAATGCGCCTCTAGAACGTTGAGCGAGTTCAGGTAGGACGCCTCTGACGTCAGCAGCTCGAACTTCGCCTCTTGCAGGCGCTTCTGCGCGGGCGCCAAGGAACCTAAAGAAAGTAATTTAGCACTGTGTTATGAACAGTCTTTGTTAGTCTTAATGACCTTTCTTGAATTTCGCCTCTTGTAGGCGGTTCTCTGCGGCTGCTAAGGAATCTAAGGATTTTAGTTCAGCACCGGATTACGAACAAGTTTCAATAGCAGGTGAGATTGATCACAAGGACGTCTTAAGGCGTTTGTGTTCTAATTGAAAACTAATAGATGCTACTATCGTTTGTACAAAACAAAATGGAAGCGCGATACCATAGAGGAAGATCCCAGATAGTTATAGCAGAAGTAGAGACTGGTGAAGTGTCAGCATTAGAGTTGACACAACAAAAATATCATTAGTCGACAATCGTGGGATGTAATGTAATGCAAAGTGATTTGGATTTGCTCTACGAGTATCTCTATTGTACAAAATACGGAATTATACATATTTCTCAGACTATTGTGATGTCCACATCCGGGAATCGAACCCAGGATCACGATAAAGAGAGTCTGTGATGTAACTGCCATGGCACTGGATCATGAAGGCATTAATGAAAAAGGAAACTTACTCAGTACAGCAGAATTGACGACCTCCGGCACCTCACACCAGAGAGTCCGTGCGGGGCCCCTGGGGGCCACGAGGGCCATCGCGGAGGGCCTCACGGGCAGCGGCGGGGGCACCGACGCGTCGGGCACGAGAGGGGGCGCGGGGGCCGGTGGGGGGCCCGCGCCCGCACCGCTCGCTTCGTACGCGTCCGAATCTGAATCTCCCGTTTCACGACACACCGACTGTGGGAGAGAGAGAAAAGATTTAGCACGACAGGTAAAATTAAGACCATACTTTAGCGCAGCGGTTCCCAAACTTATTTAGTCTACTGCCCACTTTGACAATAAATTATTTTTTAGCGCCCCCCATTTTTGTAGTCAAGAGTCGAGCTCAGTCGATGTCTAAGAGTCCTCCTAGTAGATGACGCCTCCCAAGCCTCTACACAACGTCCCGATTTTTTTTTCTGGGTCTCTTACCGCCCCCCTTTAAGCCTGCAGCGCCCACAAGGGGGCGTTATCACCCACTTTGGGAAAGACTGCTTTAGCGGCTAGGCTAGGATGCGCGCCGTGATAAAATCTTATCGATGGTTTTGGTGGACGATAAACGTATCGACTTATCTAGGCTTACAGGTCGCTGCAGTCATCGATTTTAGTCCGTTTAAGTTGACGGTTTATCATATACCGTTTAAAATGTCTTGGCAAGAAGCTTGTATCTACCTACCTACGAGTAAATTACCATCTCAGGAGTTGAAGTTACGTCGCGTGTACTGTGATTATCATGGAAACTAGTGCATGGATGCTGATAATTTACATCGCATATTAAAAACCGGAATTCAAACACGTACCTACATATAACATGGACGTAACATTTTCTAGTGAATAATTGGTCGTTACCCGCGACGTTGTATTATGTAAATTACTTACAATAATATACAAAACATGATGTAATTCTCCTACACTATGAAGGAAGGTAATTAAATACAATGTAACGGTAATAACAATATCTCTACTAATATGCGGGCTCTATCGCGACGAGAGCGTAAAATTAACAATCTTTATGAAGCACAGAACTCTACTATGTATTAAATATTCCGTAAATTGTTATGTAACTGACTAACATAAGGAGCAAATTCAAAGCTAGTCCAGTCAATGAATGCTTTAACGACCGTGTAGAGAGAAATCCCTGGAACACAATTTCTGACCTCGGGACTTTATTTAGACTAGTTAGGAGGTGAACATAGCAAAAGTCCCCGCCCTTAGCCCTTGAGCCGGCGGGAAGAGGGGGGTTTAAAGGTACCACTTTTCGGTTTTTCGCTTAATCCTCGGAAACTATGCGTCCTAGTGACATGGCTAATATAAACCAAAAAAAGCTTATTCAATTTGCTACAGGTGAGACAGTCAAGTTTTTCTATATGTTGTATAGTTTTCGCGGTATCTGCTCTAGAAGGTCTGTAATATTGGAAATTTTAATTTTGTCTTACATATTCCCATCAGGAGAAAATCGACTAAATCAACATTGAGCAAACATTATAGACATGCGGGAGCATGTTAAGCCTTGTTCCAGGGAGGGGACTGCATCGTGCGTATATTTAGACGAACCAAATGGAGCCACTTTTGACTCCTCATCACTCAAAAAGTACCTACTGTGCATTAACACTTCAAATTTGGCTCATGTGTCGAGACTTTCAAGATAAACATCAGCTTCCAATTTCGTAAATATACCTCAAACGGTTATTTAGGTATTGACGTTCAAAATCGATATTTATGACACTAAAATCTATCTATCACCTGTGAAATGTTAAAATTTACTGGTTTTTTATTTTTTCCTTTGTATTTACACAACTACCTATCTGGATGCCAAATTTGAACCTTCAAGGTCATCTGGAAGTGGTTAGAAGAAGTTGGTCTTATAGGTCAGCCATGTAGATTTTTAGACGTCAATACCTAAAGAACCGTTTGAGGTATATTTATGAAATTTGAAACTAATGTTTATCTTGCAAGTCTCAACACATGAGCCGAATTTAAAGTGTTAATGCACAGTACTTTTTGAGTGATGAGGAGTCAAAAGTGGCTCCAATTGGTTCGTCTAAATATACGCACGGTGCAGTCCCCTCCCTGGAACTAGGCTTAACATGCTCCCGTATGTCTAGAATATTAGCTCAATGTTGATTTAGTCGATTTTCTCCTGATGGAAACATGTAAGACAAAAATAAAATTTCCAATATTACAGACCTTCTAGAGCAGATGCCGCGAAAACTATACAAGATATATAAAAACTTGACTATCTCACCTGTAGCAAATTGAATAAGCTTTTTTTGGTTCATAGCAGCCATGCCACTAGGACGCATAGTTTCCGAGGATTAAGCGAAAAACCGAAAAGTGGTATCTTTAAACCCCCCTCTTCCCGCCGGCTCAAGGGCTAAGGGCGGGGACTTTTGCTATGTTCACCTCCTGACAAGTCTAAATATAGTCCCGAAGTCAAAAATTGTGTTCCACGGTTTTCCATCTATAATGCTTTATTGACTAGACTAAGCCTATTGAAATTATCTTACTTTGATTCTTTATTTAGCAATCTACCTTAGATCCTTAGACCAAAGTTACACATGATTAGCTATGTATTCTGTGTAAAATTAATTATTCATGTCCATTTCCGAATACGAATAGTCTGTGTATATTTAAATACCGCGGTAGAAAATCATCGATTAAAGTCACCCAAGCCCACATCATTACGGTCGCATCATGAAGTCATCCACATTCAGGAAGACGCCGCATTGTGGGCCCGTTTGTTACCGCGATAATCGTTTATCCTAACAATCGCCATTGTTACACGCACATTTGCCGCTATATCTCGGAGGAAAAACGTCTTATGCATTTTATTAAAGACAACTCAAGTTTTTCTCGCTCAAGGTTATCAATTAAGTGAAAAATATGTTGTTTGAATGATGTTAGAAGGACAGAAACACGACAAAACTTACCTATACAGGATATAAACGTTAAGTGATCTCACTCGATTATTTCTAAACTATACAAGATATCGAAAAACTGGTTACTGATCCTGAAAATGCTTCACGAGCTCTTTCAAACGGTACTAATAACAGGTTACAGAACAAACTGGCAGGCATATAAGACTTGATTTTGTTAAAATTATAATTTGTGGCTAATTACATTTAGTTATCACTACCGGTTAATTTAGGTGCCCAGACGCACGTCCAATGTCAATGGCGTTAAAACAACAATTAGAGCATTCTGAAGGCCGCCCAATTGTTCCAATTAACAATCGGCAAAACAACGTGCGTGCAGTCATTAACAAACACCTACACGGTTGTTTGATTATGGACTATGTTGCAGGGAGTTAAGTGTGATATTAAGAATGTCTTGGACAGCCTGTACCTACTTACTGTGAAGGAAGATTAGCGCTGTTGCTGTTTACTTCCTTCAAGTTAAACATTGTTTATTATGGAAACTTTTGATTAGAACGTGGTTATTGACTTTGGATACAAGTCTTTTTGTACCACTCGACTCTGCGAAGCATATAGGAAGTATACATGACTAATATTACTATACATAGTAGTTTATCCAAACATTTTTATCAATTTACCTTCGCTAATAAAATAAGTAAGACACAGACAGTCACGTCACGATGGCTACGTTAATGGATCCGATCTTTATCTCGATTTGTTCCTAAGATCTAGGTTATTGATTCAATTCCTCAGAATCTACTTCGTTATCCTACATTATTTTTGAAATCTATACAAAAAGCCTTGGCACAATAAGGCGACAGGAGACAGAGAGTACCGTGAAAGTAGAGATCACCGTGTTAATTATTAGTTAGTTAGGTATGTTAATATACATGTTTCCCTCTATCTACAATGTAAATACATACATACACTCGAAATACATAACCCTCCTTCTGGCGCAGTCGAGTGACAAGAATTAGATTTCACTCCCGCTCCCTGGTTGTCTTTGTGTAGCCCTAGAGTAGACTCTACGAGGATAGGGCATTCTACGACTATCGTAGATCGTAGTATACCCTATCTTCGTAGCAGTGTGTCGTAGACGCAAATAAGGAGCGACTGTCGTCGTAGTCATAGAATGCGACTTGAAGGAAACTGTCTTGCCAACCCCGCGGTCGATAACTACTCGCAGCTTTGATTATCCGCAGGTAAGTACTGAGGGCTTAGTGTGAGTTTACATCAAACGTCCGCACTAGTGAGAGCGTTAAAAAATGTATGAAAATTTTAGTTCTTGAAAGATTCCGCTAGGGGCGCTGTACAATCCGTCATACATTTCATGTAATTTTGTGACGACGTTTGATGCAAACACACACTACGCCCCCTGGTCCTGAAGTTGTAGAGTATAGGGTTACCTCGACTTTAGCCGCGTTGTAGAACTGGTAGAGCGGCTCGTGCGTGAACAGCGAGTGCGGCAGCGGCGACGCGGGGTGCGAGCCCGACGACGCTCCCGATGACGACGACACGTTGCCCACTTGGTACAGCCCTGCTTCCGCGTACCTGAAGACAACGTCTTACTGTTAACATAGGGGTATTAAGCGAGCCGAATGCCGAGCAGGGAACGCGGACGAATGCTTGAGGCAAAACGCCGATGGTGATGTCTCACGTTCCCGACTCATATGGCTTACCGAGGGCAACGTCAGGTTTTTAGTGGTAGTACCCCACATAACCCACTAGCTGTCCCCGCGGCTGGTGGGTATACAAAATCATGCATTATTTGTATTTTTCTGACGAAAAAAGGGGTATATTCTACACCTGTAGGTTATGTGTACGGATAAACGGCTCATCAACTGTGGCTTCTTAGGAACAATAATACAACAGCACGAATATTAGTCCAAAGTGCTGTCGATTTTGTCTAACAGGAGGTACTTAAGTGCAAATAATGCATGCCTCTTATGGCCTTACGGCAAGTTCACGAGAAGATCAGAAGACCTAGGGCGACAGTCGTTGGAATAAAACGAAATGGAAGTCTGGATTCAGATGGACTGGTTTAGATTTAAAGAGTTGAGAAACATTACTCAGTCCGATTGTCAGATAAGAAAGACAATTCCGTGGTCCAGGAGGCACGTTAATCCGTCTCGGTCCAGTTCCGATCAGATTCCAGATCCCTAAACCAGTTTATTAACTCTATGGCACGTTTCTTTCAGTTCACACAATAAAAGACCACACAATATATTCTAAAAGCACTGCTATTGGGATCGAGACATTAATTTACCTTCTCGCGACACGCACCGTCTTACTCTATCACCCTTAACCTACATAATGGAAAACTTAAGAAAATCAATAACTATTAACATACATCTAGGACGTATGAGTACTTATTTAAGTAGGTAATCCCTAACACAAGCTACTAAACGTACCTAATCCCTACTAAGTAACACATAACATATTGGAAGACTAAAAAAAGATTGGAGTTTAGAAAGTAAGTAAGTATGTAGAATTACATAATTTACATGCTAATATTGTTATTTTAGCATTAGTCAAACAAAAAGCGCATGGTACCATCTGCATGATAACATGCGACAATCAGCCCAAGGAGTGAATTAGTATTCTGTGACCTACGCTATTAGATTAGTCATTGTTTGATTCACTGTTGGTACTTAGTAAGGGTATTCCTTGTTACGTCCATGTATGAGACCATTTCATTCGTGTTTCCTTTGAAACTTATAAATATCTTTATTTGCTTCTTACTATGTTAGCATTTTGTAAGTAACTTTTTGCACAAATCAAGTTTTGGGTGTGTGTAAATTATCGAAGTGATATGGACAACGTCTTAATATGATCAACCTTAGGAGACACAAGAATTCTAAAGAAAGAATGTAATTTAATTTCAAAAAGACATTTAAAATAGAATAACTTCTTTGTCATATATATCCTAACATCACCTACGTACCCACAACTAAACAGCTTGAAGGCAAAAGTTTCAAAAATACTTTTCGGAATTTCACGCACCACGAATATATTAGAAAATCCCGTAGCAAATTCATAACTATGGGAAGCAGCGGCAGCCTTGTAGTTGACGATGCAAATGGATTGTTACTCACGCTATAAAAGGTCTTAATAGTCCAGTCAATGAATGCCTTAACGACGGTGTAGAGAGAAATCCGTGGAACACAATTTCTGACCTCGGGACTTTTTTTAGCCTAGTTAGGTGGTGAACATAGCAAAAGTCCCCGCCCTTAGCCCTTGAGCCGGCGGGGAGAGGGGGGTTTAAAGGTACCACTTTTCGGTTTTTCGCTTAATCCTCGGAAACTTTGCGTCCTAGTGACATGACTACTATGAACCAAAAAAAGCTTATTCAATTTGCTAAAGGTGAGACCGTCAAGTTTTTCTATATCTTGTATAGTTTTTACGGCATCTGCTCTAGAAGGTCTGTAAAATTGGAAATTTTATTGTTGTCTTACATATTCCTTTCAGGAGAAATTCGACTAAATCAACATTGAGCAAACACTATAGGCATGCGGGAGCATGTTAAGCCTAGTTCCAGGGAGGGGACTGCACCGTGCGTATATTTAGACGAACCTATTAGAGCCACTTTTGACTCCTCATCATTCAAAAACTGCTGTGCATTAACACTTCAAATTTGGCTCATGTATTGAGACTTGCAAGATATACATCAGCTTCAAATTTCATAAATATACCTCAAACGGTTATTTAGGTATTGACGTTCAAAAATCGATATTTAGAGCACTAAAATCTATCTATCACATGTGAAATGTTAAAATTTACTGGTTTTTTATTTGTTCCTATGTATTTACATAACTACCTTTCTGGATGCCAAATTTGAACCTTCGAGGACATCTGGAAGTGGTTAGAATTTGGTCTGTAGGTGAGACATGTAGATTTTTGGACGTCAATATCTAAAGAACCGTTTGAGGTATATTTATGAAATTTGAAACTGATGTATATCTTGCAAGTCTCAACACATGAGCCAAATTTGAAGTGTTAATGCACAGTAGTTTTTGAGTGATGAGGAGTCAAAAGTGGCTCAAAGTGGTTCGTCTAAATATACGCACGGTGCAGTACCCTCCCTGGAACTAAGCTTAACATGCTCCCGCATGTCTAGAATGATTGCTCAATGTTGATTTAGTCGATTTTCTCCTAATGGAAACATGTAAGACAAAAATAAAATTTCCAATATTACAGACCTTCTAGAGCAGATGCCGCGAAAACTATACAATTTATAGAAAAACTTGTCTACCTCACCTGTAGCAAATTGAATAAGCTTTTTTTGGTTCATAGTAGTCATGTCACTTGGACGCATAGTTTCGGAGGAATAAGCGAAAAACCGAAAAGTGGTACCTTTAAACCCCCCTGTCCCCGCCGGCTCAAGGGCTAAGGGCGGGGACTTTTGCTATGTTCACCTCCTAACTAGTCTAAATAAAGTCCTGAAGTCAGAAATTGTGTTCTACAGTTTTCCATCTATAATGCTTTATTGACTGGACTATAAGCAATCTCAGCGCGTTAACGAAATAACCATATAACGGGTTCTTATAAATCATTGACAAAGAAAACTCGCCACTATTTAGCATACAAATTAGGGTTGAACTTTCATCACTATTATTGATAGATTTGAAAGAAAAAACAAAAGAAAACAACAATATTAAGTGCAATTAGAGTCCAGAGAAGTCTTTGCGATGGCCCAAAAAACAAAAGAAATCCACAATATTATGTGCAATTAGAGTCCAGAGACGTCTTTGCGATCGTCCAAAAAAAACAAAAGAAATCCACAATATTATGTGCAATTAGAGTCCACGGAGGTCTTTGCGATCGCCCAAGCAGATGTTGAATAACAGAATATGCATTTAAGTACTGTACTGCAATAAAGTTAAGTGTGTCACAATTTGCGAAGATCGCGCAGACGAGAAATACGACTTTTGAATTCCTGTTCAGGAATTCGGGCAAGTAAAAAGAGGAAAGAGATATTGGAAGAAATTCAGCGAGAAATTTAGCCTTTTCTTTAAATAATCCTGTGTAAGCTTTGTGATAAAAATTTGGAGAACTTTAAAAAAAAAAACACATAATTGTGAAGTTAAGAATCGGATGATTCAATACTCAATACTCAATACTTTTATTGCATAACCACATTAGCATTCACATTTATAGGTCTTACAATTTAGGCAGTTATACAATGTGGACCCAGTTAGGGCACAGCAACTTTAGGAAGGAGACAGAACGACGATCTTACTAGTCAAAAGAAATTAATGTACAAATTGAGTTTGGTGGAAATGTCATTATTAAACGTTTCGATAATTATAAAATAAAGTTAGAATTAATGAATTATTAAAAATTGAAAAATATTGTTAAAATGTCATGCTAATTATTGTCAAGTGTTGAAATGTCATGTTAAATATCAAGTGGTAAGCAGTTAGGTCCTACTAATTTATTATTCAGGTCAACATTAATAAATAATAACCTAAAAATCCTTAAATGTCAAGAAATTTTCAAAATAAATATAAATAAATATGTGTATAAATTAAATAATGTCAAAAATGTAAAATCATGTCAAAATGTTAAATCATGTCAAAAACTTATCGTCTAAAAATTCTTTCAAATTATAATAAGTTTTCTGATTAAGTATATTCCTTAATCTATTTTCAAATGTCCTGCTATTTGTTTCAGCTTTTAGGTGTTCAGGTAGGTGATTGTAAATTTTTATTGACATAATAAGTGGCCCTTTAGTGTGTAGTGTTAACTTGGATTGTGGTAATGCTAGGTTGTTCTTGTATCGTGTAGGATAACGACGGTGTGTTTGGTCCACGATCTTCGTAGTGAACGCTGGGTATTTCCTTACGAATTTGCAAATTTCAAATATATAAATCGAAGTAAGGGTTAATAACTTGTGTTTTTTAAAGTAATCTTTGCAACTAACAGATTCGTCAATATTTTCTATAATGCGGACGCATTTCTTTTGGAGTATAAACAGATCATTTACGTGTTAACCACATTAGCATTCACATTTATAGGTCTTACAATTTAGGCAGTTATACAATGTGGACCCAGTTAGGGCACAGCAACTTTAGGAAGGAGACAGAACGACGATCTTACTAGTCAAAAGAAATTAATGTACAAATTGAGTTTGGTGGAAATGTCATTATTAAACGTTTCGATAATTATAAAATAAAGTTAGAATTAATGAATTATTAAAAATTGAAAAATATTGTTAAAATGTCATGCTAATTATTGTCAAGTGTTGAAATGTCATGTTAAATATCAAGTGGTAAGCAGTTAGGTCCTACTAATTTATTATTCAGGTCAACATTAATAAATAATAACCTAAAAATCCTTAAATGTCAAGAAATTTTCAAAATAAATATAAATAAATATGTGTATAAATTAAATAATGTCAAAAATGTAAAATCATGTCAAAATGTTAAATCATGTCAAAAACTTATCGTCTAAAAATTCTTTCAAATTATAATAAGTTTTCTGATTAAGTATATTCCTTAATCTATTTTCAAATGTCCTGCTATTTGTTTCAGCTTTTAGGTGTTCAGGTAGGTGATTGTATATTTTTATTGACATAATAAGTGGCCCTTTAGTGTGTAGTGTTAACTTCCACTATGTTTAAAAATATTTTAATTACCAGATAAACTAATTGGTCTGCTGCATTAACACCTTATTGTTGAGTAAATAAACGACAACAGTTACAGAAGGGCCAATTTTCAAAATGATTTCCACTAAGATACGCACGTGGTCAACCGCCCGCGTCCCGAACTTGCGGCAAGTTTAACGGTCGCCGGGAAACTGGCTCCGGTGAGTCATCGGCCACGAAACGTCATGCGCCCGCGCAACCGCCTCGCTGACTAAAGCGAGGATTATACACGCGAGGCATCACCACTCGAGTACAGACGATAGCACATTAGACTAAACATTTTCGTTGGAAAACCGCACTTATTCCCACTACATTAAGATAAGGTGTAAAGCTTTATGTGCCGTCGTTTATACTAGGCTGTTATGCGTCACGGGCTATGGGCTGCCCCCAAGTCAGTTTAGTATGTTAACTTCGGTATGTTGATGCGTTAACTCTGGAGCCTGGATATGCAGAAATATGTACACCAGGGTTTGATATTAGTCATCCTTTAACGCTCTATGATAGCGAAGAAAATTGATTCACCAATTATTTAATAATCTTTTATATGGACGTGATTTAGTGGTACAGGCCGGTCGGATGACTAAAGGCATAATCAACCTATTGATAAGAAATTAGAAGCGATTTTTGTATTTACGAGTAGTTGGACTTCAATTATTATCATCAATGTTCCACGCTGTCTGCTCTGCTTTCGCGAGCATTCAATTGATTGATAAGATGCAATGGTTTAAAGTCGTATTATTGTGTATAAGATTATACCAAGTATACTTTATAACCCCAAGTCGAACAGTGGGACCGTTAAATTAATTTCAGTTTATTCAAAAACGGAAAGTATACACAAGAATTTTAATTTATAAAACCCTTTTTCGCGGAAGAAATCATTGTTTCGACTACATACATGATGTGTCAGAGTTTTGTAGAATTGTTGACCTACCACGGAGTTTACGTCACGGGCTACGTGCGCCCTCAATCGTTTTATAATTGATTGCTTTAAATAATTGTGTTCGTCTGCTGTCTCTTTTGTCTACTGCTTATTGAACCTAAGCCTGATACTCGTGTATCGCTTGAGTAATACATATTATATCGTAAAGGTAAATAGACTTCAGAAGACCATCTTTTAGGGAACTAACTGCAACTGCTTTTATCTTACGACGCGAATAACTTAAGGTTCGGCCAAACCAACGCGATCAGCCGGCGTGCAGCGATGGCGATCAATGCATTTAAAGGTTAGACCAGACCAACGCGTGCAGCCGGCGTGCACGATGACGATGGCGATGGCGACCAGACAGCGCGTATGAATTTGTAGCGATGTGTTCACATCAACGCGTCCTGTCATTGGTCGCGGCGATCTATGCAGCGTCTGCACGCAGCGATCAGCGATCATCGCGACATTTGTCACTGTGGCGTTTCTGTTTTTTAAAATCGATGTAATAAATAGTAAGTAGGATCTGTTAAAAAGTTTTTACACAACTAAAAATGAATTATTCATAACATACCACTAGTCTGACCTACTTGAATAATAAAAAAGGTTTTAGAATAAAGTATCAATATCAGAACTTATTTTTTGGAAATAAACAAATTATTCTAGTTTTCTCGAGAACCTGCTTCTTCAACTTCATAAATAAAATTGGGATATTATAGTTCCAAAATACTGGACTGTCCTGTCGATGACATTGACAGTGGGGCGCCACCGTCAATACCGGATCGCTGGTTCAGATTTTTGTCATGTTGGAAACCATATAGTTGAACGATGGTAGCGCCCCCCTGTCATTGAGTTTGGCGGGACAGTTCAGCGTGGGTCATCTATATCTGCAGAACAAAATAATTGAGAATGTACATGTCTGCAGCTTTCTCAAAGGCCCTAGAGCAATTCTAAGTATGCCATAAATAAAAACCTAATGAAAGTCATCAAACGTCTCAGTCATTAATTTAGTGCCACTAGAAACACCTAGTTGATCAAAACTGATGTCTTTTTGTATTTTTGGGTTATTATTTAAGACAAAAAAGATATTTGGACTATTATGTACTCTGTGGTTTGGGTGCATATTGTAATTTCCTTTGCCTTAAAAAAAGTAAATGTCAAGATGACTGTTGCACCAAAAATGAAAATGAAAATTGATTTTGATAGATGTTGTGTTGAGTTGTGTAGTTTTGTGCGATTTAACGATAAGAACGACAATGGTGAAAGGTAATGGGGGCAATTTTTTTCCCTCAAGGAAAAAGATGAATTGGTTATAATCTTACTAAACTTGCCCACATGGATACTGTACGAGCACGTCAGCATCGACCGCGACCTACAACATGCTAGCCGACTGGCCCATGAACCCTGAACGAACGTGCACCGTAGGCACTCTACACCGACGGCACATTGGACTGGACACATTGAATTGTGTACATTATGTAAATCTTGTATATAGCAATAGCATAACAGTAATAAACCAGATATCAACAGTCCGCGTTGTGTTTAATTTCCCCCACTGAGGCCAAGAAAGCCTTAGCGCAGTCCTCCTTCCTATCAAACCTTTCTTTAAATCTAATTAAAAGGTATTGTTAGGGCTCTAGGGACTACAAACGAAGCCAGAAATATAGCTTGGTTATGAGTAACCAATACCTACTACCTATACCGCATGTGATCCTGTCTCATTCTATAATATATGGCCGCCCTTAGATTAAATAGGCCGCCTGAATAAACTTGAGAGAAAAAGTGTTTCCACTGTCTCAATTGCATCAAAAGCTCCAAACAATTAATAATTCAGTTTCCATTTTGCCGAATAGGCGTGATTGACAATATGCGTGACAGTTGTGGTGACAGTGACAACCTGCACGCGCAGTGATCGCCATCGCGGTCGCGGCAGTGTGAAACAACTTTTGCACGCGCAGTGGTCGCCATCGCCATCGCCATCGCTGCACGCGTTGGTTTGTCCGAACCTTAAGTCTGGTCGCCATCGCTGCACGCAGGCTGATCACGTGTGATCGCGTTGGTTTGGCCGAACCTTTATTGATGTTCCATTGTTTCTGCGTAAGAAGGTGCACTTTGAAAAGTATGTTTCTACGTAGAAGAAACACTGTTATTCTACTATTTTGCACTACTTTTTGACATCGTTTTCCTGTCAAGGCTGCTTAACCCCGTGGCCCGCGATAGAATTTAAGTGGCCTGCGCAAGTATGATTTGATCTTTTAATAATTGAGTTTTTATTGCGCTTGTCCTGAGGGTAACTAAGATAGGAAATTATGTAAGTGGCCCGTCGTTAACCACTGAACCCACCGTTTGGCCCGACTCTTCAAAAGTTTGAGCAGCCTTGCTGTAAACTGTCTGATTCTGACAGAGCTGTGAATAAAGACACTCCTTAGGCCGGCAATACACGGACCGCTTGAGGCAGTCAGGGTCGACAGCTTCAAGCTGCGACTGCACAGTGAACTGTAGAGTTCTATGGACGCACATACACGAACCGCTCGAGCAGTGGCAACTGATTCGGGCGGTTGACAGCACGGTGAATTTTCATCGTGCGGTCAAGCAGTCGCCAGCCATACACTGACTGCTCGAGCTGTCGACAGCTCTCGAACAGTTACCTCCGCCCACTTTCTTCATTCCACGGCGCGCGCGCTTGTGATTTGTTGAGCAGTTAATACCAACTGCTCGAGCAGTTATCACTGGCAGCTTCAAGCTGTTGACTCTTGACTGCAAGAGCGGTCCGTGTATGTTGATCACTGACTAACTGCTCGAGCTGTCCGTGTATTGCCGGCCTTAGATCTAATTTGAATGCCATGCAATTATAGCACTTACCAGCAGGTATTAGAGGTGTTTACGGAGGCGGTGTCGCTGGCGCCGCACTCCGCGTACCACGAGGTGCGTGTGCGCGGGCTCTTGTCTTTGCGCGACAGCGTCGGCAGCAGGCGCTTTAGTTCTGCGCAGACATAACAACATGTTACTATATGACTCGGCAATCAGCTGCAACAATATGTATCTTGAAGGTCATCGCACATTTATGAACTCGAAAAGGGATCGTAACCGTATCAGCTCGAGACGGTCAGTATTCTTTGTATGGAACTCCATACTGCAACGCACACTTATCACGTTTGACAGCGCGCGAAAGGCTATACGGTGTTGATCCCTTTCCGAGTTGATAAGTCTGCTATGAACTTAAGTCACTAAAGCCCGTTTTCCACCGCCAAAGAGGATTGAACTAAGGGTGTCTAGTGGAGCGGTTTGCAGGTACATAAATAGGATTGCTTTTCCACCGATAAAGAGTTCGGGACTATTGATTTGATGAGCGAACTCATTTTTTACTCTTTTTGCCCTCTTTGTCATTTTCACTCGACTCGTTGTTGGTGGAAACAGATGTATTTTATGCATTTTTGTATTGCAGCGGTGAACGGAGTCATTAATTGGCTCGCTTCGCTCGTGGTGGAAAACCCGCTTGACTTAAGGATGAACTTTTGGATACGTATTGTTGCAGTTGATGTGGGTTGGGTTTAACTATCGAGGAAAGAGTATCACATGAGCTGGTGAAGACTGTATTAACGGAAAAACAATTAGGTAAATATCTTGAATTGCAGTGTGATTAGAACAATGAATTAGGATGGAGTGAGAGTTACTGTTGGATGGTAGTTGATATAAGTTCCTCGATAGTGGTTACGTATTTGGTAAACACATGAAAACATAAAAACATGCTTGTGCAGTGTTTGATTAGAAAACATAAAGTTGAAATGTTGATAAAACTGCAAAACAATATTTTGCAAGCGCAAATCGCAATTTAAATGATTAACAATCAAGTAGGTATTTCAGTAAGTTTTTGAAAGAAATATTGATGAAAATATATTCAGCATTGTGTATAATTTTGTAAATGCATAATGTTTTTATTTCTAACACACATGTTCAACAATATGACAGGAGGAAACACTTGATGCAAAAACATAACTCGATTAATCGTGATTCTCGATTCGTGTGGAATTAACACGATTACCAATTCTCACGCCAACTAGTGTTTAGTCGATGAGATTTACGCCCAATAAACAATGAAAACACATGAGATTATTGCTCTGTTGATTTGAGTAATTGTTACAAAGAGTGCGGTGAAGATATTGCAGAAGCTTAATAATAATTGTGTTCATGCACAGTGACTCGAAAGATAAGGAAACTCACGACGCATAGAGCAGACGGCACATAACAATAAAAATTATAAAACGCGGATTGCTAACGAGAGAATCGCTCGAAGGCCGGCACGAGCGTAGCGTGTCTCCGCCAACGGATTACTAAGAAACTATTGCAAAATGACGCGAGCGCAAACCAGTCTGCGCGCTGTAGGCACATTGATTGCATTCTGTTAATTCAAATGCATTTTTCATGAATCTGTAATGGCGATTGAATGATGAAATCATATTAATAACAAATCGCGGAAATAAACATTTAATTAGAAGCCATAACCAGTAATAAAGTGTGTGTAAAGAACGAAAACATGGAAACAAAGACAGTGCAAGCTAGACATTCACGTGAAGTTTTTGCGTCGCACCACAACCACAAACCTCCGCTTGGTCGAAACTGATCTGTACTATAAGGAAAAGGCAAACACACAAATTGTAAACAACTCATCTTAATTGGACCTAAAGAGATATAATTAAATAATTATGGTCCTATGACATAAGACTGATCGCAAGCCATTCGCCTACTAGTCTACAAGATAGTTGTTTGCCCACATTACTCGACCTAGCACTTTGAGAACTTTGGACTAGATATTAACCCCTTTAATGCCGTTGTAGATTACCTACAGCAGACATAAAGGTACCAATTGATAAAAATGTCTCTGTCTCTCTCATATTTCATTTTAGAGAAGGAGTAATGTAACTCTGATTTTACCGGGGTATTTTGTGTGTTACCTAGAAATTTCGAATTAAGGAAAACTTTATGAAGAGAAGAGCTAACAAAATAAGGAAATTTAGTCCTCGTAGGTATCCATAAATTAGTTTTTTGAAATCGGGACACGTTAACCACATAGGTACGATTGTAGAGTTAGGAAAACATAACGAAAAACCCACAATAAATACAAAATATGACTTCGATGTTAAGTCTAAGTTATATTTATGGCAATATCGCAACTATCTGCGTATTGATACTAAGATTTATAGGGTCATGTTGTGATAACAGGTCCAGCTAGTTTTACATTATGCTGCGTATGCTCAAGTATTTCCATATAAATAACACGAGTTGTGATATTGATGGACCTATTCTTACACATCCCGAGAAACTTATCAATCAGTATTTCTTATAGAAGTTAGGCATTGAAGATTAGGTAAATAATCTCTACAGTTCTACACATAGGTTAGGTATACCTAAAATGTTTCTTTATCTACCTAATGGTCTACTAATAAAACATATTCTTGAATTGAGCGTTATCTAATCCCATACCAATAAATAACTAAACAAAATAAGCCAAAGAATAAATCGAGGGATAGATAGGAAGTAATTCAGATTCAGCTGAGAAAGCATTTCAGAGTTTCTGTAAAATCAAATTCAATTGTAAATCAGATGAGGTATTTACAGTTGTCAATCTTGTTTGTTTATTTTGTGTGTTTACCGATGTTTTTTTGTAATAATTAGAGTTTTACGGGTTAAAACAGGCGTTTATAACCAAGCGGAGTTGCACTGACCTCCGTTAGCGCTGTCTTCGTTCTGTCTGCTCTCTATTTTAAAGTCAAGTTAACTTTCAAGTTAACTATTGTATTAAATTCTACACGTTACGGACAGACGTCAACTGAAATAGTTATAGTGCATTTTAAAACACATACATAAGTTTTCAGAGTTTTCTACTCTAGATATAGAGCGGGATTATGAAGTTTCAACGAATACTAATATTGCGAATAAGAGTTTACTTATTAAACATACATAATAATATCTTACGGTTATGTTAGTAAATAGGTTTCTAAATATTTTTGTCACAAAAATGCAATGAGGGTTTCTTTAAAAAGGACGGCAGAATTAAATGCGATAAAAATGTGTGAGCTCATAGATTAAAAAGGCTTTATTAATCTAAGGTATAGCTATAGACATAGGAAATTCTACAACCGTTTTTTCTGCGTAAAATTGACTGCATGATTTTCTTAATTGTATCTCACAATGCAAGGCCGTTAGCCGCGAGGCGCGCAGTTTATAAATGCTGTTTTATGGTCACGCCATGGTTCGCAAGGTTATACAGTAATGTTATTAACACGACTTTAAGATTAAAGGCCTACAAAATAAAAATATAATTGTCTAAATAAATGAAATTAGTATAAACTCTGCTGTTAGTAAAGGTAAAACGGGACTATTCCCACCTCTCATTCCCACCGCTGCAACTCCTGTGTAGCCAGGATGTACAGCTTGACCGCCAATGAAAACCCAACCAGTGAAGGTCAAGTTTGTTCCGGGGGAAAGTTAAACTGTCATTGGATACGCAACGAAATTAATTGTAGAACATAGGAGGAGTTACGTGTTAGTAAAGGTAAGGTAAAAACACTAAACTGTTATAGATTTCAACGGATTTTGGTCTATCAGCTTTAACGTCTGTTGTTCTTTTGTTGGTTGATGTGGCTGGTCTTATTGAAATGTAAAATTATTTTATTTTAATATTTGGTTTAGCAATCAGATGTTTATTGATGGTTTTGTATTGATAGAGGGCGATAAGTTAAGGCATGTTATAGCGCTTATCTGAGTATGTTTTGACAGTAGTCAAGCGATGTGGAAGGGTGTGTTAAACATTGTATGTAACATCGATGTTCAGACATGTATACCGTATACTGACAGTTCTGTTACGTCACATGTTAACCTGTAGAAATCCGTAGGGTGCCAATGAATGGCTGATGGTTGGATGTTGTAATAAGAAAACACGCCACTTTGTAATTAATAAAGTTATTTATTCGAAAAACACTATAGTTAAGTACCAATTTGGTTTACAATAATTTTGAAAGGAAATATTTAACCAATGTTGCTTGGCAACTGTTTATCCCACATCACTCCACTACCGCTGGAACATACTTAACCTGTGGAGTGTGGAATCTTCCTATCCTATCTGCTAATTTGGAAAATTTATAAGAGATTAAGAGCGCTTTCACATTAGGGCATTAGTAGCGCGACTGCAGTGCGGCAGCGTTTTCATAATGTGAAGGGATGCATCCGCTGTCACATAGTATGAAATTTTCGGCAGCACGTCTGTCGCGCTGCTAAATCGCCTAAAGGTCTCTACCCACCACAACGTATCATACCATGACCGTGCTAGGAACGTGTCAGGCAAATAAATATTATTTGTATTGAAACGTATGACACTGTTCCCAGTAGACCGTTCCGTCACCGACCAATACCGTCGCGTGGATGGAGCGTCAATAAATCTTGCACAGAACGCCGTCGATCCGTTCAGTGGGCATAGAAGAGCGTATCGTGTTGCTTTTCGTGCCTCACACGTTCCTAGTACGGTCATGGTATGATACGGTGTAATGGGTAGAGATCTTAAATGTGAAAGCGCTCTAAAGATTTTCGTTTAATAGAACAGCAGCTTTATTAGAAGAGAGGGAAAGTTTATATTTGTTTGTGTAGTGTCCAGTTGACGCCTGCGCGTTACCTTCGTTGACAGCGCTAAGATCGGTCGCGGTCGGCGGCGGCGGCGGCGGCGCGGTCGGCCGCTCGAGCGCTAGGCAGGGTGTGGATTCCGCCCACGCGCGCGGTCGCCGCCCCAACTCGGGCTCCCGCGTACCGTCGCGGCGGCGGCCTGCGCTGCCTGGAGAGAGTGTCTCTGTGCTGCCCGCTTGCCCGTTGTCGCTGCTGAACGGAGATAAGGGTTACAATTTGATAAACACTAAGTATCCTAACCTAACTCTAGCCCTAGGACAATTAAAAAGAACGTACAACTAAATCCAGAGAATATAGTATAATATCCACTAATCCATAGTGGTAGGTTGATATGGATCGATCAACATGGAAAGCATTGGGGAAGGCCTATGTTCAGCAGTGGACGTCCTATCCTATGGCTGAAATGATAATGATGAGGTTGATATGGTGGTATTCACAAGTCCCAACTGACACTGGAGTTCGGTCACGGGATTATTCCCACCTCTAATTCTCACCACTACTATCTTAAGTCTCATCTTCTATGTAACCAGGAACTACAGTTTGACTGGTAATAAAAACCCAACCAGTAAAGGTTGTCAGTGAAGTTAAGTTTGCCCCGGAGGAAAGTTACTGTCATTGCACCCGCAACGAAATTAATCAGAAAAACTTAGGAGTAAGGAGTTTTGAAATCAGGATTAACCTCATTCAGTGGGAAGCAGATGAGGTATACACCACACTATAACTATGGCGACCTTTAGGTTGCTATAGTGGCGTCTGCAACTCCTGACTGAATTTGGAGTTCAGCAATCGAAGCACCAGGGTTCAAAAAAATCAAATCAAAAATGTTTTATTCGTTAACAAACCAACTTTTACAAAAATTGTGGTGACATACCTAGTAAGTAAAAGTATACCTGTATCAGGTAGTCACCGCCCATTCAGACAGTGCTAGTTTTGGGTAAGTTTAACAAACAAAAAAAACAAAATGGTTATTAATTAGATTACAAACTTGAAGTAGAAGGTAAAGAAAAAATATAAGGTGAATTAGAAAATATGGTGTTTGTAAGTGTGTGTGTGTGTGTGTGTATGCGTGTGTGTGTGTGTGTGTTATTTTGTATTATGTTAAGTTATGATAGAGAGTGATTTTACGTTTTTATATGCCTTTTTTTTAGCTTTCAGGTATTTTGATAAATTTTATATATTATTTTTTAAAAGTGTTTCGGTATCCAAATAGCTAAGCGATTTTAACCAGAGTGTAAGTTTCTCTTTACAAGAGTGAGATGTAAGCGGATAAATGCTCAGTTTTTTGTTAATTTTATTGTACAAGAAACCAGCTTGTCTAGTGAATTGCCTGCTAGCAAAGGCTGTTTTGGAAGGAATAGTAGGAGCAGCTTTGTCCTTTCTTCTTTTGTTATTAATTTTAGGGTCATAGTATACCTATACTTTTATGTATTTTCAATATGGCAGCTAATATATATAGTTTTCTTATAGAAAGGAGATCTCCGTGTTTATAAAGTTCTTCAGTAGAGTGTCTGAAAGGCAGAGAGTACATTACTTTAAGTAACCGTCTTTGCGTTCTTTCTACCTCCAGAAGTTTCGTTTTAGTTGAGCCCCCCCAAACTGAGGTTGGTGGTTAGATCTACTAGATATTAGAGCTCAGCAGATGGTGCCACTGTCGAGAAGGTTCTGTTACACTAAAAAGTCTAGTGGCACTAAAAAGTGAGCGAATGTAACCCTAATCTGTGTCATTGCCGTTCATTTCAGGCTACTCCTATCTTATAACACGCACCAGTTGCTAAATCCGGAGTCGCCGTCCATAGAATCCGTGAGGTAGAAGGTGGAGTTGGTGATCTTGAGGGCACTCGGCACGTCGGCGTTGATGTCCACCGCCATGGACGTGGCGCGACGGAAGCGCGACTTGAACGAGAAATAAGCCTTGCGCGAGAGCGTGCCACTGTCCTTTTTGCTGTAACAACAAAAATAATAAAGACGTCTCCTGTGTAAAATTTACTCGATCCAATCACTGACGTATTTCATTAAGGGCCTCTTTCACGATCTCCGAGTACAGTTCCAATTAGTTACTTCCTGATAACAACTACTTAGCAAGTAAAATAAGAAGTACATATTTAAGCGTTATTCAAAGATGGTGAAATTCGATAAATTGACTTTACACAACGAATAGCCTACTTGATATTACTCGTGACATGGTGAACGA